TCTGAGTCAAGGATTAAGGACACACGGACTAATTTAAAGCGGGTACTTAGTTTAGTCAGAGATTAAAAGAGCTCATGATTTTCAAGGGAAATGTAGGGTAATTTGTGCCGCCGTGCTGGCAACACTGTCAGTTTGATGTGCGCACTGCCATAGATAAAACATACGTTGGTTAGTCTATGGCACTGCTGACTGCTCTGAAAAAGTAAACAAACAACGATCTCAGTCAAACACATTGGTTTTGAGGTTTATTTCTGTTTTAATTCATTTATCATTGTAATATATTTTATTATTGTTAAAAAACTAGTTGTATCGTAAAATTTTAAAGGTGTTTTAAAGGTAGGATTGGTGTTTCATCCTATTTCTTTTGGCTGCACTTTACGTCCTACACTCCTTCGAATTAAGATATCGGTTATTCGATTGTTTCATTCGATATATCGTTTGGTTAATTAGGTTAGGTTAACCTTACGTAACTAACTAAATGATATAACTAATCGAATAATCAATATATCGATCAATATTTTCATTCCAATGAGTGTAGGACGTAAAGTAAAGTGCAGCCATAGTTTGAATAGGCTTATTGCAATAATGCTCAGGTAATTTCAACAGGGAGTCATAAATTACCGGTAGGCCTACTAACTTACTGGCCTACCCTAGCCTTAAAAAAAAAAAAAACAATGAAATAATCAAAATATCGAATACCTAATCAATTATTTCATTCGGTTGTTCTTGACAACAGATAAGTTACGGAAGTCTCTTTACACACTGTCTAATAAACTACTCTAAACTAAGTTTTGCTTTTCATCAGCACCAATCCTTGTTCTCCCAATCACCTAAAATGTTCTATAAGACGTGTTTAAACTGTTCCTAGACACCAAAACTAACTTTCTCAAATGACTTTTTTGTTGTCGAGGCTTCCTTTTGACCCCTACAATTTCATATATATCAGCAATAACCTGTACCATTTAACTTAGGGGACCAGTGGGAATTAGAGGTTTTGGGTGGGAGTAAAAGCTCTTGATGTAGTCTTTCCTCAATTCACGGCATATTGCCAATGCCACTTTAGGCACATAGCGGCATGCCGATGATTCTGAAATATTAGATCGCCGGCTTCCCGCAAAAGTGCCCCACTTGCAAAAAAGCGCAACGCTACCAACACTTTCTTCCACAAAGGTAACCTAGTTCCCCTTGTGGAAGTGCCTTTCAAACTAGGCATTACCAATTCAATTAGTTCTATTACAGAGTTTTTTAAAAATCTATATCTATCCTTGAATTCAACCTCACTTAAGTCATCAAATGGATTGTTTTTCCGCTCACGACGAATTCGCGGCCCACGAAAACGGTAAAAATCATGATAATCAATGTAATCTATAATCACATTAAACTTTAACACACAAAAATGGCTTAGGTTAAAAGTGGACGACTAAAATTAATCCTACCCCTATGCAGGATTAAAATCTAGCATGTTTTAGTCCGTGGACTAAAGCATAATTTCTTTAGTCCAGACTTAAAAACTAGTTCTTGACTAATAGTCGCTGACTTATAAGTACTCGAATCAGAAAGATATTTTTCTTAGTCCAGTACTAAAATGAGCTTTAGTCTAAGACTAGCACTAATACCTGAATCAGAAACCCGCCCTTAGAGAGCCTACAACTTTCTATCAAGCTTAGCTTAAAAAAAGCTTCAGCATTGAGCTTTATTCAAGCTGAGCTTCTGTATATAATTAATATGATGTAATGATTTAGTTAAATAAGGTTTCATTGTTGCCTCTAATGTTGGAGTAAGAAAAAATCTCCAGACTGGGGTCTCCAGTAGAGGCAGGTGATAGAAACAAATTTTAATGTAGGTGAATTTTGATGAGGCCCAAAACCTCTTAGTTTTCAATAGCCTCGATGGTTGGTAATAATGGTAATGGTATCTAACGTAAGATGCGATGGTGACTAGATTCTTATTAGTGTGGAAATTATCCCCCAATTTCACCTCAAAACCTTTCCTACTGATGGACAAAGTTGCCGTTTTACTTCAACTCATTGGTTTAAGAATGTATCCAATTGGTTAAAAGTAGGTTGCTGTAAGTGATTTTAGATCAAAGCTTTAAAATATAGAGGTATTTTAAATGGGAAAGTATGACTATTTGTTGTCAGTCTGATAGCCCATCTAAAAAAACTACTGGACCAATTAATTGAGCTAGAATTATTTAACACGTTCAGTGCTGACTACATCAATTGATGTAGTCGCGCCACGAGTGGCCTACATCAATTGATGTAGTTACGCAACCCCCACCACATTAGTTCAGTATGAGCTCAGCCATTGCCGGGGAACGTTAAAATCTTTGCTAGCCTGTAGCTTAGAATGTGAGCTTTATTTTGGTGTAGGTTGGTACTAAAATTTCCCGTAAAATCCCGTCTGACAATGCTTTTGTCCCGGTTTCAGGGATTTTCTCTCTTTAAGCCATATTACAAAGCCACTGACTACTGATCCAGGCAGTGCTGCTCCGTTTGGGTATTTTAGGGAACTATGTCCAATCTCGGGCTAACGTAGTACAATCGCCGCTGCTCTATTGTAATTCGTCAGATTGAAATATTTGAATGCCAATTGCGTTCGCTGTTACGGTACCGCGCCGGGGCTTCGCCCGGGCCTTGTCGCCATTGGCGAGCGCCTGTTGGAATGCCTGCCGCACTGAACGTGTTAAGGAACAAAGAAAATATTCCAAAGATGAACATAAGGATTACTGTACTTCAATTTTGAAACTCTAATTGGACTCCGTCCCACTGGCCACAGTTGCCAATTGCCTGTTATTCTTATGAACACACTTTAATATTCCAAACCTATTATATTATTATTATAGGTACTTTCCTGTTAAGGGGAACATTCATTATGATCGATAATTTTTTTCTCTCGATATATCGATATTTTTGTTTTCCTTTACGATACATTACAAATTGACAGCTGATCTTTAGGCTAATAGGCTAAAATATAGTCTATATGGATTAAGAAATGAAACTGTTCTAAGCTAACCTAACATAACCAACCAAACTTGCTGTACCATTTAAAAATTCTGTTTGATAACAGAAAAGGCGATTGGAGAATATTAAACGGAGTTTTTAAATGTTACATCAAGTTTGGTTAGTTTTGTTAGGTTAGTTTAGAACATTTTGATTTCAATATCTTTTTCAGGGCTGTGCGAATAGTTCGAAAAACGAATCTACTGTTTCTAACTTGATTCGGATTCGGAATCGATATTCGAATTTACTGGTAAAAGATCCGGGTTCGGATTCGATATTCAAATCTCTTGGAAATAGATCCGAGTTGGGATTCGGTATTCAAATTTACTAGATTCTGATTGAATATAATTTTCAATATAATTTTTTAGACACTAAAAAACTACTTGTGCACTCCGATTTGCTGTTGACTGGTTCATGTTAGGAACCTGACCAACTTGGTGTTAGGCTTTAGGCACATTAGTGTAGGTCGCATTTGAACCCTATCTTGACTATCAGTAAACTTAACCTCACAGTGTGAGTTGTTACTTGTAATAGTAATGCAGACATAGGCTTGTTTGGAGGATTAACACCGAGGTGTATAATAGGCTGGGCCTATGTTTTAGACTACACAAATTGGTAGTCCATCACTTTTAGCGAGTAACTTAGGCCTAGGTGGTAGGCCTAACTAATGCCCAATTCTTTAGTTTCAAAACTTCAAATAGGTAGGCCTAAATTTTATAACTTTTTTATTTGGCCCATTTCAAGAATTTTTTTAAGCAATTCCCTAAGTTATTTCAGCCCCAGAAAATGTGGTCTAAAAATGTGAAAATTGGTACTGCTGACTTTCCTCGGATTCGGATTTGACTCTGAACAGGTTTAAATATTCGGATTCGATAACAGCTTTAAATTTCAGATTCGGATTCGATCCGGGTTCGATAATGGCTGTAAATTTGAGATTCGGATTCGACCCAGATTCGACTCGGGATTAATTAAAATATTCGGATTCGATCCGGATTCGATAAAATCTGTACAGCTATGATTCGGATTCGGATTCGAACCGAAATTTCTGGATTCGCACAGCCCTGATCTTTTTACATTAATGTTTGTTGATTCTGAACAATATTTATTTATCGTAGTTTGTCAGCTGAATGTTTTAATATGTTAATATCGATATATCGAGAAAAAATCATCGATAATAATAATGAATGTTCCCTTTAACAGGAAAGTACCTTATTATATATACTGTTGTAATATTACACCAAACCTATGTAGCGCAAATGAGGAACACAAGTTTTGTATTTTTTCTTTATGCTAGCTTTGAAGTTGGTGTGAGCTGCAGGTAAAGAGGCAACAACTGAATGATTCTGATAGTTATGATATAACATAACTATTTCATGTGACATGAATATCAAGTAACAAAGTACTGTAACTGATTTGATTGCTACATAACAATATGATGTCCGGTTATCTTGAATCTATTGACTTCAAATATAAGTAGGGAAAAGTAGGTAGGTATTTGCTTTCAAATAAAATCATATAGTTTGCGATATTTATACAAAGTACTAGGAAGACTAAGGAATTCAATTTTATCAAACAAAGCATTAAAATTAAGTTTTGATTCTAAAATCAATGATGATTGTGTCATTATCTCATCAAGCATCTCTAAAGAACCACATTATTCACTTTGGTGTCCTTTTCCCAATGCAAAGCACAAAAGCAGCAAGAAGTAGTTTTAAGATGTATTACAAATGTTTGTCTACCAAAACATGTTTTGCAATAAAACAAACTAAAAAGATTATGGTCTAACCGTATGCTCTACCTGACATTATTTTTAATTCTGTGAAAACAATTATGAAGGTTTAAAATCATATTCCATGTTTAAAAAATGTATTTCAACTATAAATATGAGATTCTACTTTAAATGATTTTCTATTGAAATCAAATAATTTTTTTCTTATCCTCTAAATTATGCTAAACATCATGTTAGAAGAGGGTTAGTTGGAATTAAAAATAACGTCAGATGAGAAAAAAATCATTTATTAATTAATTAACATACTCAAATTAAAACACTAAGTCAATCTACTGTATTGAAATTTAAACATAATACAAATATAAGTCAAATATTCTATCAAATTGTAATACACACTATCGTACTATTTATAAACTCATAGAAAATGTTTGTGAATGGCAGTGATTCTGAATAGTACAAAACTGTTAGTAAACTTGCATTGTAAAATTATAAGGTTTGGACAAAATGGTGAACATTTTACTATAATAAATAATTACGTTAACCCTTTGAACTCCATGATACCCTTAATCAGTTACTCCATGAATCAGTGATTAATCTATGGCTACTAATCATGTCCCGTCTTATGACTGTAGCAACAGTTTGATTTGAGGTCCGACCCACAAAGAATTGTTCTTTACCTCTTCTAGCAATCCTGGCTTACAACACAGCGGATATGCTGAAGTTTTTGTTGAGTTTTACTAATATAGATAGTTGGTTACTATTCTGGAGCTCAAAGGGTTAAGTTTGATGCCTTACACTTTCCTGACACATAAAATACCAACCAAACTTCATCCAGTTTATGAATACTTTCATGACTAGGTTAAATGGTAAATAAGGAAACAAAAAGTCTTGTTTCGAGGTATACAAGTATCTACAAAGCTCTCGATTGACAAATTAAAATCCAAAGTTTTCCACAATATTGTTCTAACCTGTATCCATAAAAACAATTAAAGAATTTTATATCACTTCAGATCATAGTTTAGAATAGATAAAAATCTTTAGCCTACCTAAAAAATGTTACTAAAAATTTTATAGTAGCCTATCTCATTACTACTGAAGGGTTAAATCTTAATCAAGAGTTAAAATTCTATAGGTAATTTGTCCAGACAAATCACAAAACAAGACAGCCAGTTATGGTAATCATGTTTTAAATATAACCTAAGACGTTAACAAAGTGTTTACATAATATTTCTAAATAAAACCATGCAAATACATAGTATTGAAAATTAATTATTAATTTTGATAATAATATATTAACATCAATGATTAGGTATTATTTAAATCCTACAATAAACATCTACGATTAATAAAAAGCCATAACTATATAAAATTAGCCTTTCAAGATAAAATTAAAAGTTTCAAGAAATAAAGTATTGTGAGTTAATTTACGAGCATGACAATCCAAAACAGTAAAAAAAGTTCCTATGAAATAAAATAGTAGATTTATCAGGATATACTAAATAAAATATTTATAACTATCACTTTAAAATTTCATCAACAAAGCTGTACAATTTTAATTAAAGTTACCTATTAATCAAAATGTGTCACAGTTATAATTTTAAATTGCACACAAGTCCACAACTTAAAAATGATTAAAACAATTGACTTTTTTATTTTTAATTGTGATAGGTTGAAAGTAAAAATGGTAAATGCACATTTGAATGGTAAATAACGTTTACATAGGTATGGTAAGAGCTATTAACAATTTAAACAAAATAACTTTAAAGATTAATGACATTAAATTAAAAGCATGTCGATGGCTCTAAACTAAAACTAATATTTTTTACATAAGTGAAATCATAGGGAATATGAACTTATATGACTCATAGATGGAAATGAAGAGTATTGTATCCATAAAATACTATTGACTTTAGGCTTTGACTATTAATACAACTTCATGGTCAATGCTTTGAGGTACGTTTTCCCATCCATTATCAATCAATCAGCTGTAGCCTGTTTTTTTTTTTAAAGAAACATAGTTGAGTGAGCTACTTAAAGAGTGTGATAAAACAAAAAATTTAATTTCCAATGTTTTTTTTTTTGTTGCTACTGAGATAGTTCATTGAACATGATGATGATATAGCTTACAATAATAAGTTGTTCTTTCAGTTAGGCTTTGTTAACTACAAAATTTGGCATATTTGACACTAGTCAGTACAATAAACATCAGTACAGCCAACCTAACGAAGTAAATGAAGAAAATAAAAAATTTATGATTCTACCTTTGAATATTTCAAGCAAAATTTTAAAATTTTGAAAATTGAGGTGATTGGATTGTTTATTGGTTCTAGAGGAACATTATCAAAAATTTTTGTGAACTTTTGGAAACAAATATGATTTGGACAGATCCTTTTTGAAAATTATTATTCATGAAACATTAAGAGGTTCATTGACCATAATGAGAAATCATCTATATGGCAAACAACAAAATTAATCAGTCTTATAGCTGCATAATCCTTCAATATCTTATGTGTACAATTTTTTCTGTGTCATTGGCAGCCTTATTTTTTAAGGCAGATGAATTAATTTTTTTAAATAAATTCTTTTCTCCTCTGTCGGTGACTCAATTCTACTGTGTTAATTTCTTTCCTAAAACTAGCTACAACCATAGGAATTAAATATCTATCAAATTTCATCCATAGCCAATGGTACTACCTCGAAGGAAAGACTTCCTGTGTTTACAAAATGTATTTTTTATGTGATTCTAAATGCCAATAAAATATATAGTAAAAATAAGTGACAGTGTGAGTTTAGTGCCACGGCACCTGGTTTGGGTGACTGATAGTGCCGAGTTTGAAATACCTTGCGTTAGACGAGGAGTGAGGAACAACCGTGGAGGTCGCAGTTGACTCAGCGTTCTGTGCTTGCGTCCCGTCGCCTTTCAATACACTAACACACTTCCAGCTGTTCATATGATTACCTGTAACAAGTTCTGCATTGTAAAAGCACGTAGTTCCCTGAAAATCTGCTAGATCAAAGGAGATCACTTTGTTTACATTCTCTAATGTGTACAGATTCTTTTTTGCAACAGTTTTAGCATAGACTAACCAACACAACTAGACTTCTTCCATTGTAAATTTTGAAGCTAGTTTTTCAAGTCTAGTTCATGGACGGTGACACTGGGCGCTAGTATCTATTATTTTAGGGTTAATTTCTTGATTTTGACTAGTATTTTTTTATGAATACATTGTATTATTTGGCTAAACGAGGTTTAAAATGACTGAAATAACAAGAAACAAATTGAAAACAAAACACAACCTCTACAGTACACCGTACAGAACTAACAATAAAATTGTCTTAAGCTGTTCGTTCCATAAGGATGAGAAATCGACTTAGGGAGTACGATTTATCTATGGTTTTAGTTAGGGAAATAAAAAAACATAAAATGTTTTCCTTAGTGAAAAAATTGCATTTTTCAAACACAATGTCCTCGCTAAGAAGTATCATGGAATTGATGAATTATAATGCCTATTATAAACATTATTTCTACATGTTGACAATTTAGTTTTTTATAGTTGACTTAACCGACCCTCTTTTTATACCTCTTAACCGACCCTAATGGGACCGGACCTAGGTCGGATAATTCAAAAGGTCGGATAAAACGGGCAATCCCTAAAATCATAACATAATGAAGTGATATTCATTTGGAATTATATAATCATTATTTTGAAGTCATACTTGCATTATTTATAAAATAAACTACTCTTGTCTCCTTTTTCATATTGATAGAAAAGTCTCAAATAAACACAAAACACGGTTAAGTCAAATAGGTCTACTTTCAGTGGAATATATTATAATACTATGCAAGAGTCAAAAAAATGCATATTTTAATAACTTTAGTACATAGTTATTAATAATTCTTTCCAAATACATCGTAATACAGTACAGAACCTTTTGTCAACATTTAAAGATACAAGCGACCATTTTGTTACAAGACAGGACGTTTATTTATAGCCTCTCACTGGAGGGAGACACAAAAACTATCTTGACCTTGGAGTTATTAACCCCCCTTCCCAGCCCTCCCTACAAGTTGCGTTGTTTGTTTACTCCGGCGATAAGATAATCAGTTCTCAAAATCGTAACGCATTTTATGATGTTATAAATTTGCCGCTCAGATAATAAATCAGATCAGATGTGCTCGAGCTACTATTAATGATGACAAACTGACAATAGGCTATGCTATATTTTTTGTGATCAACACAAAATAACTTATTATTAGTCATATCCTGTGGAGATAAGCGTATGGTTCAGTTCTCATCGCCCAGCGTGGGAGCGGAAATGCCGAGATTCATAGAAAGCGGCAATTAAACCGAGCTGCTCTCAAAGCAAGGTTGGTTAAAACAAACTGTATTATTTTACGATCAAAGGCGGATAATCCGATTATCGGTTAATACGAGGTCGGTTAAAAGGGGCTCTACTGTACTGTATTGGTTGCATGTTAATGTTTATAGCCTATTGATTGTTTTCTTACGCGTATCATTATTGTTGTCAGCAGTAGGGTCTACAGTATGTTTGCGATCTTGAAATGTGTTGTGTGTGAGTTATAAAATGGAAAGTCTTCGTAGTTCTGAAGTGGACAGACTGTTGATGTTTAGTGAGAGCAAGGATGAGCTGGATAACAATCATGTGGACTTGGGGCCATATCATAAAGAAAACTACAATTTGTTTATAGGCGACCTATAAAAAAAAACAGGGCCAATTACATGAGGCTGGTGTGATTGATGCAGGCCTAGTGAAGACCTTGACCACTGTTACACCGTTGATTTAGGTGATAGTGAGGTAAGTTCTAGGCCTATTTCTTGTCTACCTAACCTAGCTACTCACATTTCCACAATCTGACACAACCATCGTCGCCTGAAGACGCCAGTATAGTGCCAGTTATGTTCCAACACACTCTCCATACTGTGCAATAGTGGTCCTCAAACTGGGCAGCTACTTGAATCTCAAACCTAGGCCCATTGCCTGGTCCATCCCTAAAAAACGTCAAATCTTTAACAGCTGGGTAGATAGTGGTAGACATCTAGTAGTAAAACCTGAATCCAAGTTTAGATATGTTTTATCATGTTAGTGAGCACTATTCTCCCATTGCTCACACAAAAGTAAAGAGCTTAAAGTAAGGACAGAGGGTAAAAAAAAATACCTATACTTTGTATGGTCGCCATTTCATCGAAAAGTATTAAGTAAGGCAATAAGAAGCAGTATTCTAAGGTCAGCTTAGTCAATAAATCAAATCAAATAATTAAAGACCCAAGACAAATTGAACATTCAATGATTTTTTCTCCTTGGTCGTGTTCAGCACAATTTAGTTGAAAACATAGGCTAGATAAAGTTAGTAAATATCCAAGTCAATAGGGTACAAAGTGTGCGGACGTCCTTAATAGCTATAAATTAAGGCAGGATCTCCTTTTCAGCTGCCAGATACAGCTGTGGAATTGAGAATTTTGAGCTAGTCTCATAGAAAACGCCTGTACATGACCCTCGTGTGTTCAGTTGGGGCCGAAAGATGCAGCCGTATTTTGGTAGCTAGAAAAGCCTCTTGATGGAAGTGGTAGTCACTTACTGGCGAGGTTTCAGCATGAGTATCCGGACGTCCTTGGTGGCGACGGCCAGCAGATGGTAGCTGCGGCCCAGATTGGGAGCAAAGGTGATGTCGTGAACAGCATCACACACACTGGCCACAGAGTCTGTCTTAGTCCAGCGACGTGAGTTCTCACTACACAACACATAACATATTGCAGCAGACCTTAACCTGGGACCGATTTGGTCTTTTGTTTTGATTATCCCATTAGACATATTTGTACATACGTTTTTTTTTATGGAGAGTAGCTGTGTATAAAACATGAATAAATCATACTACAATACTAACTTTTGTTTGGTACAAATGTTTTTAAGCACAAAAGAGAAATTGTAAAAATGAATACATATGAACCAATAATAAATAGAAGAAGACTGTAAGAGAACTTTCATATGGAGAACGTGTAAACTGTTGTAGTTTGCTTGTTTATGGATCTATTTTGATCAAACTCAGCAAATTTTACTAGGGTATTAATATTTTCCTTAAAACCACACTTTATTAGCCTACCTGTAGCAGCAAACCTAGGTACGTTAATCCGTTTTAATAGATTTATTTGAAAATCAATTCAGGAATGGAAATTTTCTTAGCCTGTAGGTTTGCTGCGTCAGGAGTATTTTTTTATTTAACTACACTACTAAGTAGGACAGTGGCATTATTGCCTGACATTTTTATTTTTAATTAGAAAAAAAACACAAACTCTTCGTAAAACTTAGAGATAGAAAAATACGTTTAGGTATTTGTTTTAAGAGGTTGGCAGCCTTTTAGCTAATTTCCCTTAAAGGGACCATCCGTTGAAATTCATATACTGTACACAGGGTTGAACAAAATTAGTGTAAAAAATTGCTATCAATTATTACTTTTAAAACTCTAACAGAACTTTGAAAGCCCGCAGGGCAGAGTCCTAGGTCAATAACAAAGCGGGAATATGTATCCTCGGATCTGTAGCTTTATTTTTTCCCACTTTGAGCCCAGTCGGATCAGTAGTTTTTGAGTTTATCTCATACAAACATACAGATGGACAGACCACCTCTTCTTTATAATATTGATAGATAGATATAGATACAAAATTTGAACAAATGGTGTTTTTGGTCTCTGGGGACATCAAAATGAAAAAGTAAATCGATCCCGGGCCTAGGTCTTACCATGCCACCTACGGTAATAGCTACTTCTCTATAGGGAAATTCGCTAAAACTGAGAAAAATTTTTCAAGCTTTTTCAAATTTACATAGAATAATTTATAAATAAAAATACTTTTTAAAAATGCCACGTTTTTAAACATACTAAAAAGTATAAAATAATTTTTAAAATGTTGAAAGAATAAATACTTGTAAGATTTAAAACGAAAAACGTGGGGCGCATGCTGATTTACAATTAACTTCACCTATTGAACTATTATGATCTATTGCATGCGCCCCACGTTTTTCGTTTTAAATCTTACAAGTATTTATTCTTTCAACATTTTAAAAATTATTTTATACTTTTTAGTATGTTTAAAAACGTGGCATTTTTAAAAAGTATTTTTATTTATAAATTATTTTCTAGTTTTTAGTCTTTAATGAGTAAATATGTTAAATCAATTTATATAGCCTCTTAATACATAACCAAAACCCAAAACCTTATTATCTGTAATCAGATGTTTTATCTTTACTTTGAAATGATTGTTTTATATTTTTAGATCTCGGGAGCAGAACCTGTACCTCTTAACCTCTGCTCTTCTAACATTCAAATTTAAGTATTTACAGCTGACTGAAATTAATTTATATGTTTACATTCTTTTAAAATGTAAACATGGAAAATTTGGAAGCCAAAGGGGCGTAGCCCAAGGGAAATATGAAAATTAAATTATATAGGCTAATATTGCATTGTCATCCATTTGTCAGCTATGTTTCAAGTTTCTAGCTCATCGGGAACTTTGTTTAAAATTGATATCAAAATTTGTAAGAAAGCGAGCTAATAAAAACAAGCCCATGGGGCGTAGTCCAAGGGTAATATGAAAATTAAATAATATAATATTGAATTGTCATCTATTTATGAGCTATGTTTCAAATTTCAAGTCTCTAGCTCATCAGGAAGTATAAAAATTTGCAAGAAAGCGATTTAATAAAAACAAGGCCATGGGGCGTAGCCCAAGGGAAATATGAAAATTAAATGATATAATATTGCATTGTCTTCCATGTGTGAGCTATGTTTCAAGTTTTAAGTCTCTGTCTCAAGTCGGGAAGTTAGTATAAAATTGATTTCAAAATTTGTACCGGACAATAAAGCGAGCTAATAAAAACGTTTTAAAATAGCATCACCTTTTACTATCACAGCAGGGAACTACATTGTCATAAAAACTCTATTTTTTTAAGTTTATTAGTTACAAAATATATTTAAAATGTTTCAGATTATATGAACACATTGTTTTTAGTTCATTCGTATATTATTATATACGAATTAACTAAAAAAAAAAATGACCAACCTGTATTCAAAGAGCAGCACTTTACTACCGGTGTTTGGATTGCTATCGTCACTTCCGACGGCTATCATGGGTGGATGACGTCTGTAAAAATAAAAATTACAATAAGAATTAACAAAATTTAGTTAAAAGAATAAGAATAAGAATAAGAAAGTTTATTGCCATTGACCAAGTTGTACATAGGAATAGGCATTGTCAAATTACATTAAATAAAATATCACTAAACATGTTCATATCTATAGATAACAAAGAAGTTACACATTAGTGAAGTATAATAATTGTTAAAATCTGTTAAAGGTGTTCTAGTAAATCTTAGACCCATTGAAGAAGCAGTAGAACAACAGCCGTTTACTGTATTTTATAGCAGGCCTAATTAAATTCAAAATTATCTTAGCGGGAAGGAATTTCTAAAGCTGGAGGAATCTGTAGCCTACTTATAACTAGGTAGGCCTACTAGAACAGGGGTTTCTCAATGAGCTGCAGACAAGCCAAATTGTCCTGGCTTTTGAAGCAAGTTGTTTATAAAAAATTGTTGTAAGATTGTATGATTTTTAAAGAAATAAAATAAATCCCTTAAACTGGTGACAAGTTGAATGGGATATACAACTAGCTGTAGGTACAACTAGTCGTAGGTACAAGTAGTCGTAGGTACAAGTAGACGCAGACGTATGAGGTACAAGTAGACGGTGGCGTACGCGACTAGTTGTACCTGTAGATTTTTAAGAGGTACAACTAGACGTAGAGACAACTAGACGTAGGTACAACTAGACGTCCGCACCATCGTCAAGTTGTACCTACACCTTTGGACGAGGTACAACTAGACGCCTGTCACCAAAATGCAGCAGGTACAACTAGACGCCGGTACAAGTAGACATCGCCCCGAAAAAAACATATGGAAAAACATTACCAATAGGCTACTGGAGCTATTAATTTTTAATCATGGAGTTGGTGATTTTCAATCACCTAATGACAAATAATTTTTATGTTGGTTTTCACCTTGCGTTAGCTTGAAACTCGTACGATTTGAAAAATAATAGGCCTAGTTTAGATGAAAGCCAGTAGGTCTATTTCACAGAAGGTTCTTAGACTAAAATATTTCAAGGATTATAAAATTATAACTGGTGAAGGTACATCTTAAATTGTATTAAGAATTAGAAAATAAATCAAATTATGAGTTTTGGTCGAATAATACAGTACGGTAGGTAAATATTTGCCGATGCTTTATGAAAAAACTTGGCTTGCATGCCTTCAATTTGAGACCTCAATCATAAAAATCGGTCGGGTAGAAGAGCCAAATGATCTCAAAAAAACAAAACAAATTAAACTCACATGAGAAATACATGGGGAGCAAATTTCGTTAACGTGAAAGCCGAGTGGGATTATACCTATATAAATACATGCCGATGCTAGAAGGCAAATCTGTGCGTGCATAACTTCAATTTGAGGCCTCAATCATAAAAATCGGTCGGGTAGAAGAGCCAAACGAACTCGGCAAAGAGAAACAAAATTTAACTCCCATAAGAAATACATGGGGAGCGAATTTTGTTTAAACGTATATGCCAAGTGGGATTATAGATAAATATATGCCTATGCTTGATGGCAAATCTGTGCGTGCATACCCTTCAATTTGAGACATTAATCATGAAAATCGGTCGAGTAGAAGAGCCAATCGAACTTGGCAAAGAGAAACCAAATTTAACTCCCATAAGAAATACATGGGGAACAAATTTCGTTTACATATAAACCGAGTGATACTATAGAAAATTATATGCCGATGCTTGATGGCAAATCTGTGCGTGCATACCTTCAATTTGAGACCTCAATCATGAAATTCGGTCGGGTAGAAGAGCCAAACGTAGTCGGAAAAGAAAAACCAAGTTTTTTAAATATATAAGATTAAGAATTACTGAAATTACTTTACTTCCTAATTTTGACAAGAGCTGTACCAACATATCGTAGGGAAGTTTCAATTTGACTCAATAATAAACACAGAAAAAATGAATAGGCCAAAGAAAATTTTAAATTTGTATCAAAAGAGAATATTTTCTGCAGCGAAACCAGCAGACAAATTAATTACTTATAGTGGACATTGTAAAGTTCAGTTGCCTCTTTATGACCCAGGGATGGAAATAAATAAATAATCCTTGTACATATTGTACCTACCTGGAGAAGGACGGACTCCACGTGAGACAACTGGCAGGTAGTTTGCAGGAGACCTCATGCTGGAGAGTCCACTGACTGAGGTTCATCACATCCGGTGCCTCGTAGATGCGAATGACCCCGTCAACCGAACATGTCGCCAGCACGAGTCCCAGCGACTTAGGCCCGAACTTGACGTCTGTCACTGACGTGCGTGAGTCCACTAGATTAGTTCTGCGCACCCAGTGACGAAGTCCTCGCTCCCCCGGGGTGGTGCCTTCACCAACTGAAGCGATAGAATAGATTAAGTAGGCCTATAGAATAAGACATTTGTAAATTGCTAGATTGTAGAGAGAAAAGAGTTCGCCTTTCCTCAAAAATATTCTGCTTATATTTTCTTTAAAGTGTTAAGCGGAGGAAGTTCCACAATTTTTTGCAAATCTTTAACATCTGATTCTACTAGGCTATAATTAGCTACGGTACCTACACAAACATTTAAGGTCAATTACAGTAGAGTCAAAAATCTGAACGTCAAAAATCTAAACCGCTCCTGAGTGTTTTTAAATTATTGAATTAGCACAGAGACAACATATGTTTTACAGTTTAAATAACCCTTACCGATTTCCTCCCATATAGCGCCAGTCCTATCAAAACTGCAAGTGGCAAGAACTTGGCCGAATTCTGGATGAGCCCAGGTGACTTTCCAAACTGACCCGCTGTGAGCCTTCCATGTGGCAGTTAACACCCAGTTGTCATGCTCGTCTTTGTCCCAAACCTGGATGCAGATAATTGATACTCAAGACATAAGCAGCCCAATGAGTTTGAATTCCTCAACCCAAAAATAGGGGTTTAGCATGTGTTTCCTTACCGACTAAATAGGAGAAATACCTACCCGGAAAAGGGAAAAATCCCTGTCATAAAATCCCACTCCCCAGAGCCATACACCTACTTAAACAGACAATGACCATATAGGTAGGTATTACGCTGAGCGGCCCTAAGAAAAAATATTTTCCTCTAAAACAACACCATCAATAGATTTTTACAGGCATGTGCACTCAATTGTCGCCAGGTGAACAATAATTATCGTATTTGTAGGCCCACTATACTTTTGCCCCTTTGCAATAAAAAATAATTTTGCAAAATTGTACGATAATTTTGAAATTGTGTACGATTTTTTGACATAAAGTATGATTATTTTTTGGTGGTTAAAAAGGGCCCATTGGCTACCAACGTAAGTGCTTATAAGAGAATTTAGAGAGAAGTTGGCCGCCATTTGTATTAGGGGTAGAGTACGTTGTACCTTTAATTTCAGTACCTAACTTACCTACATTGGCAGTAGGAGAATGAAATAAAGCAATGAGCTGGTTGATTTTTCTAGTTGAGAACCAAAATAACAACATTTTACAGCGTTTCAACTTTTTTTCTAGCAGATGCAGATTCTGTGTGTGTGTGATAGTGCTGCCTCCAGTAGAATTTATATGTTTTAGCTCAGTGGTAACTTAGACTGGTAGAGCAAAAAGCAGTGGGCGGCAGAGACAAATAGTTAGGCTAAATTTTGGTCATCTCAACATCGACTTGCTTGTTTTACATATCATAATCTAATATATAAAATTCTCGTGTCACAGTGTTTGTCTGCAAACTCCTCCGGAACGACTTCACCGATCGTTATGAAATTTGGTGTGTAAATTCTGTAAGTATGCGAATCGGACGTAAACTATTTCCCGTTTCGAAATTCTTAAAAGGGCTCCGCCCCAGTGGCTCTGGAGTTTCCCATGTTAACCTTATGAGAAATGGAATTAATGAATCTTAACAGCTGTTTCAATTAAACAAGTTGGTTCTGTTCTATGATGTTCAATAGCATTAAAGTTACAAGGATTACCAACAGGGTGCAGCACTATTATTTCTTTTACATTTAGGACAACAGCTAATTTGCAACCAAAAGGTGAGTGAGCGTAGCGAACGAACTTCAACCTGGAGGCGAGTTAGCGTAGCGAACGAGCTAACCTGAAGGCAAGTGAGCGCAGCGAACGAGCTCCAACCTAAAGGTGAGTGAGCGTATAGCGAACGAGCTCCAACCCAAAGGTGAGTGAGCGTAGCGAACGAACTTCAACCTGGAGGCGAGTTAGCGTAGCGAACGAGCTAACCTGAAGGCAAGTGAGCGCAGCGAACGAGCTCCAACCCAAAGGTGAGTGAGCGTAGCGAACGAGCTCCAATCCAAAGGTGAGTGAGCGTAGCGAACGAACTTCAACCAGGACGTGATTGAGCGATGCGAACGAGATCATCTTGAAAATTAAACGTAACGGTACTTTCTTTCCATTGGTCTGTCTTAGGGGAAACCTATAACTTAGGCGATACGAAGTTCGCCGGGTCAGCTAGTAGGCCTATAAAAAAATATTGTGTGTGCGATAATTTTTCCCCAAATAAGTTGAAACTGTACGATAATTTTGGACTGTTTGTACATGATAATTTACGCCAGTCAATCAGGCAACACTCTGTGCACTATTTATTGGTGTGTTAGGGTCTATTAACAGATTCACACTAATGTTCTTTGAGACAGGGGCACACTTTAGGCTTTAAGTAGGGCCTAAATAGAGCAGGCCTAGCCTATAGGTAGTAAAATGTAGGCCTAGGTCTAGGCTAAGTTTACTGTTTTAATGACCTAAGTAAAAAATTAACTTATGAATAGTCCTAAAATGATCTATAAATAAGTGTACCGTAAGTTTTACACCTAGGCCTAGGCTAGGCCTACCCAGAGAAAAAAAAAAATTATAAAACTGAATCAGCATAAAATTTTAAAATCCTTACCTTTACAAATTGGTCACTAGAACACGTAGCCATTCTTTGGCCATAGAAATCATAAGCAACATCATGTATTAGGTCCTTGTGTTCGGCATTAATACTATGGGCTTCAAAAATCATAATGCAATGTAAAACTTAAAAATAGGCCTAGGTAATCCAAAATCCACGCCTTGATCCAACCGACAATGAGAATGAACAATTCAGTTTATAAATAAGCTATAGGCTAACTTAATACTAATAAAATAAAATTGTGTTAATCCAACTTAAAACCTGTAGATAAATAAATTATGATGAATAAAAAAGTAGTAAAAACTCAACTAACTAAGTAGGTAATTTAAGAACAACCACTTTGACTATTAATTGGTTTACTTAACCTAAACCTGAGCTGAGCCGACGCCGACACACTGACTGACACGAAACGGCACACGGAAGATTTCTCAGGTGCCGTTTGACGTCACTAACTGCTGATGTCACTTTGAGGGAACACCAATACCGCAACGATACGGATTAAGACAACGGCCTCGGTGGTGCAGTGGATAGCGTGTCGGGCTCTTAATCCTATTATTTCGGGTTCGAATCCCGCTGGTAGCAATGACTTTTTGACAACAATTTTCAGCAAGTTTGGTTAGTTCGGTTACGTTATGGCAGTTTAATTTTATAATTATAAAATTCAATTTTAGGCATTTATAATTTCATTTTATGAACAAAATTATTTTTTAGATTAGTAAACCTTTTATTCGATTTTTCCATTATCGGCACGTTTGGTTAGTTTGGTTAGGTTATGACAGTTTAATTTAATAATAGAAAAATTATAAAATTGTCTGTTTCTTCAGACGCAGCAGTTAGTGACGTCAGCAGTTAGTGACGTCAAACGGTACCTGAGAAATCTGCCGTGTGCCCCACCGCTGACTGACACAGGGCAACAAAACAAAACGCAAAAGGAAAAAGACAACGGAACACAGAACAACAGAACACGGAACGGGCGAATATCTCAATGGCGAAGTCGGCGTTTTCGATTGGCGAGCTATGTTATGTTAAAGTATGTTTTCTTGATTTCTTTTCCGTATCGCGAGTGAGTTAATTAAGCGTGTGAATCGGATCGGAGCCTGGTTCAATCTCTATCAATGAATTCAATTCAATCATGGGTAAAAAAACAAAAATCTGAGGACAAATACAAAAACAATTGGGGACGATGTATCATGGAAAAAATAGCAAGCTTTGGCCAAAGCTAAAGCCACCATTAATAAAATGTTTAAAAGAAATAAGTTAGAGGTCCATGTTATTGATACTTAATTAATTTTAATACTATTTTAATAATATACTTACTATGACTGGTAACGTAAAAATTGGATAAACACGCACAATTTCTATTAATTATCCTCTAGATCCGTCACAAAACACCAGTCAACCCGGCGCAGGTGAGCAATGCGGCACAGACACTTGTGACTCGACCACAAGTGCGCGCAGTCCACGTGCGGGACTGCACTGCCCTGCGCTGCGCTGCGCCATAATATGCGCGTTTCCTAGCAAACATGTGGTTTACAAAACACTGCCCTGCGCTGCACTATGCTGCGCTGCTCCGACTGCGTCTCAATATGCGCCGGGCCTGAGAGTCTGCCCTGCCTCAGTGCCTGCACTTGCACTGCAGTCAGTGCAGTCTGCTACTGCTCTTTTAGTGAAAAAAAGCTAAACCTAACCTAAACTAAACGTAAAACCTTACAGTAAAACAATCAATCTAAAAACTCATAGTGACTGGCAGTAGTACCACAGTGATAGTGCAATTAATTTTAATTATTTAGGTGATGCGAGGCAAACATATCAAATGCAATTTAATTGACAAAAGAAAACTACCGGTAACTAACACAATCAATAAGTTGATAAATTGAATGAGAGATAAGAAGGTAGGGTTATAGTCTCCAGGATTTGACAATGTTTTTATTTACATACATACATACATGATACATGATCTCTCCGTCCGTAGGCCTAGTCCTTTGCCTTAAGGAATTGGACAGGGTTAATACAAAGAATAACCAAACTTAATACTAGTTTTTGTCACCGTCAAGGTAACTGTCTATGTCCTGTAAACTTAACTCCACTAGATATTTTTTTAATTCTGATTTGAATTTTGTTAAGCTCTGAATTTCAAGAAATTTTTTCGGTAAGTTAGGGCCTGGTACAATTTCATTCCCATGTAGGCCTAATCTGGTTTGTGTTCAAATTTTGTGAGTTTATGTTTAGGCCTATTTATTTATTTATCATTTCAACGGCTGACGCCAATACACAGATAATTAGATTGAGATCAATTTGAAGGAACTAACAAGATGCAAATGTTGGACTGCATGTGTGCCCTTTGTTCGTGTGTTGTGTGATTTGTAAAAGTTGGTTTAATGTAGTGGTGGGAATCACCGAATGAAAATAACCGAAACAATCGGTTATTGATGCTGGTTCGGTTAAATTAGTCTTACCAAGCGATTCGGTGATTTAGTTATTTAGGTAGTTGATTTAGTTTGTCACATCATCAGCAAACTAAAATTTATTCGGCGATTGGTTCGACTAAAAATCACCGATTGGCGCTAAAAGACTAAATGTCATTCCGTTTCCCATAAGATAATAATTAGTTGTGTTTTGTTTCCGTGAATAATGACTAAAATTTATTCGGTGATTCATTCAACTACATTTTAAAAATAACCGATTGATGCAAAAAATAACTGATTGATTATTCGGTCATGGAAACTATCCGGTTATCCCATCACTAGTTTAATGTTCTGTGATTTTATATATCCTAGCAAACTGATTCATAGATATACGATGGGGTGTTGTGTAAATTGAGTGAAGCCTAAAGGTTTGTATACATATAATGCTGTTAACTTTTAATAAGTAGGTAAAACTACACAGCTATAAAATAAAATTAATTTATTTAGCCAGAATATTAACAAAACATGTTGCAACAGCTAAGTCATAACATTTTAACCCTAGAGCAGGCGCTTGTGGAGCTTTCCTCCGCACTTGTAGTTTTTGTTAGGCTAAAATAAATAAGTGCATAATGGGTGTCCGGCTCCATACTTCACGCACCTCATCCTGGGAATCCCTCAAGCTATTTTTACCCCCAAATTTCTCCTTATTTTGTTGTCAGTTGCAATTCAGTGACGTGGTGTCAGTTTGAGGAGCATTTTTCTCCGTGAGTGCCCTATCGTGTAAGTGCTTACCGCAAATTTATTTCCTCATGTGTTCTTCTGTGTTAGAGGTGACTGTTTTAGTTGTGTCTGTTAGTGAAGTAAACCTAGACCCTATATTAACTATTTGGGGTTTCGTTTTATATTAGACTGATACCACTATGGATTTATTAAAAAATTAGAAATTACGAGGATTGCTTGATAGTGTCGAAAGGGAAGAAAGAATAGAGGAAATACAACCAAAGGTAATTATTGCGACCAACGTGACCATGGGAACCTAAGTTAAGGCGATTCTTTGCGTCAACATTTTGGGCGTCTGGCAAGTTTTAGAAAGATGGGAGAGCGCTCAAATTAAAGGTATTTATTCCGCGACGCTTGTTTATATAGCGTATGTAGGCCTATTTTAATCCAATTTAGAAACTTTTTTATTTCATACTAGGCCCTAAACCTAACTTAAAAGCTATCCACATTTAAACTAAAAAAACACCTCATTAGCCTATCTTTCCTGTAGCAGCAAACCTTATTTATTAAATTTAATGTTATAAACTAGTAAATAAATCTGAATATTTTAAGGGAATATTTTAGTGAAAATCTAGCTAGGTAAATGGAAATTCGCTAACTTAAGTCTGCAGGTTTGCTGCGAATGGGATATTGAGATTATTGTAGTGTCAATTAAATTAAACAACAAGTAAAATTATGGAATACTGTAACCACATTGATTATTCTCCTTAGAAAATAATTAGCAATCTGAGACAAATATGTTCTGTCAATATTTTGTTCTTGAAATAAATAGGCCAAGTTAAGTAAATGCCTGGGAATAAGACCAAAAAGGTGGAGAAGCATTCACAAAAATTACCATGTACGAAAACAAGCAAGAGTAGTCAATCTCGAATTAAATGGAGATATATTTTATAACCACTATTTAAATGATAATAGACAAGAGAAATATAATCTATTTACTTATTTAATACGCAAGCAGGATTTTTGTGACAATTACTCCTCCGAAACTACTGAACCGATTGTCATGTTTTTGGTGTCATTGGAAAGAGCGTAGCGTGAAGTTGTGCAGGAAACTTTCTTTTTAGGGAAATAATGAGAGAGTGAGGCCCTGGAGCCCTTTAAAGTTTCATATTTCTCCATAAGATTAACATTGGAAACAAAAATTAATTGTTATGAAACTCCAGCTGTTGTCAGAAATCAAAAGTGAGAAGAAGAGCATAGGTTAATCCTAAATAGTCAATAAGTTTGCTAATATAGTATTATAACAGTTTGCTACAAATATTTACTTAGCAGTTGCTCGAATTCGAGCAACAGGGACACTAGTACTTATTTAATACGCAAGCAGGATTTTTGTGACAATTACTCCTCCAAAACTACTGAACCGATTGACATGTTTTTGTCTCATTGGAAAGAGCGTAACGTGAAGTTGTGCAGGAAACTTTCTTTTTAGATAAATAATTAGAGAGTGAGGCCCTGGGGCCCTTTAAAGTTTCGTATTTCTCCATAAGATTAACGTGGGAAACAAACATTGTTTTGAAATTCCAGCTGTTGTTAGAAATTAAATATTAATAATTGGTCTCCATGGAAGCATGAGAAAATTCACAATGTTTACATTTGCTTTGGCATTTAAATGTAAACAACCAGATATGTCAAATGCCTATTTCACAATTTCAGACAGCTGATACAAAAACAAAAATAAAACAACTATGTGTGGTAGGGCTTAATTAATCTTAAACTTTATGATGGATTATCTTAATAAAATTATAAATGTGAAAGTTTGTGTGTTTGTTTGTTTGTTTGAAGTTCAATCACGCATTAATTACTGGACGGATTGGGCTGAAATTTGGCATGATGATAGCTCACATTCTCGATTAACATATAGGCATATTCTTATCTCTAAAATCCTTTCGGGCTCCGCCCCAGTGGCTCTGGAGTTTAATATGTTAACCTTATGAGTACTCACATTTAAACGGAATTAAAGAATTTAGCCAGCTGTTTCAACCAAAAAGGTTGGTTCCATGATATGCAAAAGCATTAAAAGTTATAAGATTTGCCAACAGGGTGCAGCACTATTATTTTTTTTCATTTATGAAAACAGCTAATTTGAACTAAGCAGCAACAAAAAACTGTGATACGCAATGAGAACTGTCTGTTTACAGTTATGTTTATGTTTTTAATTTCACGAATAGTTTGTGATATTTTGTGAATCTTTAATAATTTATTTTTCCCTATTGTTTTTGAGAAGTAGTGGAACATTATGGCTGTAGTAGATGTGTAATACTATAGTATATCGTAAATATAAAGAAGCAAATTTTATTATACTTTGTCCTCCCTCATTGCAAACGCAAAGCTTGAGTAAAACTGTACTAAGCATTTTATACTCATATGCCAATCCCGTACGAAGGACGGGTACTCTGCTAGTATAAAATAAATTCACATAGGCTAACTTAATGCAGGTTTGATAAACCTAGTGAATCCAATGTAGTGTTCTTAATTTCTTAGAGTTTTTTTATTAGAGTAAGATCTTCTTTAATAGCCATTTAATAGGCTATTTTCAGTTGTACCTGCATTGATAATCAAGTCGAATTCACCCTAGGTATTGACTGCCAGGGCATTCCCGACGACACAGAACACACGTTCTTTTGCTGTCCACGTTAGGTTATGATCCGTCAGGACAAACAAACAAACCTAACATCTGGGAGTGATGTCAATTGAACTGATTTATATGGATTGAGCCCTGTGGGTGTAGGCAAACTCGACCTAGTTCTGATGAAGTGTGACCAAGTGTTTCCAGGCTAGTGTCTAAAGAGTATAGAAGGGTTATAGTGGGTAATCTTTGGGTCTTAACCCTTTTGGAGCCCCAGTCCCACACTACAGACTAACCACCTGTGTGCGTAAACACACTTTTCCGCTTCTCCCTAAAAATTAGCATCTAATAAGGAGCTTGTTTTATTAATTTTTCATTAGGTCTACAACTACTAACGTTGTATTTTCACTAAATTATATTGCAACATTAATGTTTATTAACTGTTTTGTTTGACACACAAGTAAACTGTATTGTATAAAATTCATACATAACATTTACATACAGCCTTTGATAGTTGTTAAATTCAACATTTCTTTTTTGTTACACAGACTAAAAGTAAAGAAGAATTTAAATAATGGCCCTACGTGGAGTCAAGGTCTTGGAAATTGCAGGACTTGCACCTGCCCCATTTTGTGGCATGGTTTTGGCTGACTTTGGGGCTTCTGTGGTTCGAGTGGATAGAGTAAGTTGTCATTTATTATTATTAGTCACATTACTTTAAGTAATACTCGGACTTATCACAAATTGGAAAGGAGGGGAAGAGGCTTTTAACCTGGAGTATCTCAAGGGAGGTCTTCAAGCCTGCTGGTAAAGCAAGCTTCACAGATCCAAAGTCTTTCTGTACCATCTCTCTTTCCTCTTTCCTGCTGAAGACTCAAGAGAAACTGGCACTTAGGTAATTTGGGAAACAGTCTGAGTCCAGTGCCAATCCTAAAGTCTACATAGCCATCATCACGCTTACACTCCAAGAAGATCCTGCGACTGTGCTACATCATTTGGTAAGAATTCAAAGAAATAGCCTTAAAGCCGCGGTCACACTAGGCTGTTTAACAGCCGCTACTAACTAGCTGCTGGCAATATCGCCAGCAGCCAGCAGATCTGTAGGGTTCACATCATAACCACCAGCCGCCAGTAAATAGCCGCTAGTTTGTAGACCTCACCTGGTCCAGGACCACTCTTCTTTCACTTCTTTACGGTGTAAACTTTATTTCTATATAAATCATGTAGACTTTTTTCTCTGTCATAAGACCAAAGCTGATTTTAGTCTTCGTTCTTCAAGTCTTTGACTTTGATATGACTAATTATAAGCTGCGTCTTTGGTATTCCTGCCAATATAGTTGGCAGACAAAGCATCCCTCAGGCAAGGATAATTTTTAAATAAATCTAGACATGTTACAATGTATTTTCCCGACCACTTGTTAGTGTCAACTATGCTCAATATTCAGGAAAAGAAGTATAAAATAAAATACAACAAAACTAACATTGCATAAACAAACAAACAATCTAGATTCATGTTAATTCACCAGCCCCTTGACAGCTACTAGGGGTTCACATTGGCTGGCTCCCACCAGCGATGAGGTCACGTGGTGCCAGTGGTGGGTAGGCAGCGCTAAAAAATTAAACATGTTCAACTTTTGATTTTGGCTAGTAAAAACCAGCCCGCTGGCATTTGCCAGCCACTAGTTCTGGGTCAGACTAGGCTGCTTGCTGGTAAAATTACCAGCGGTTGGTTATTAGCGGCAGATTAGGTTAGATCTCTGGTAGATGATCTAATCAGCTCTCTCAGGGACATTGGTGTATTAATTCAACGATATGCTGAAGACATTGCGATTCTGGTAATGGGAAATTTCAACAACACAGTCTCTAATCTTATGAATATGAGTACTTCAACTCATTTTCATCTTTACAAATTACAATTATTAAGTTTTTGTTTCAGACAGGTTTCTCCCCCGATGCTGACGTTCTATCCAATGGAAAAAGATCTATTGCTATCAACCTAAAATCCCCCAAAGGAGTTGATTTATTAAAAAAACTGTGTAAAACAAGTGATGTCCTCATCGAACCTTTTAGAAAAGGTAGGTTGATACTTTGTGCAGACTGGTTATGAAGTTCACTCAATCAAAATAGCTTTATTCATAACACATTTTGTACATGTACAGAGTGGTGTTGGTTGCTAAAAACCAAACTTTGTTATGACTAAAACAAGTAGTCCTACATAAAACCATAGACTAAGCAATACAAGTAGACTCCTCATTCCATTGTAAATTTTGAAGCTTGTTTTTCGTGTCTAGTTCATGTACGTCCACACTGATCGCTGGGGTATACAAAATTTTGTTTCAATAATTTTATGGTTATTTTCATGATTTATGCTTTACTATTTGGTTATATAACTAGGAGACCAGTTATTGTTTATGATTATATTGTTTTACTTGTAAATGAGGTTTTAAATTACCGGTACTGAAATAACAAGAAACAAATTGTAAACAAAACACGACCTCCACAGTTGGACTAACAATAAAATTGGCTTCAGCTGTTCCATACGGATGACAAATTACTAACAGAGTATTTTTTAAGACTATTTTACAAAGTAAATGGTTATTATCAGTAATAGTTGTTCGGCCCGTGCCTCGCCACGGGAAGAGAACGCCGAGAAGATATGGTGATTATTCACCTTCTCCAATGGAAACTGCCGGTTGATTAAGCGTTTGTCCTTGATGTAACTGTGCTTTTAAAATAATATAGAACCAATAAGTAAAATATAATTGAAAGGTTTTAAACACTATCATAAGAAAAACTTATAGTACTGTCACTTATCTTGATGTAATATAGAAATCTAAAGGTTGAATGAATGAATAGGCTAACTCAAGGAAAACTAAACAAACATACTAAAACCAAAACAAATCCATTAGCTGACTTATATTCAATATTTTAAATTTGTTAAAAAAATCCCTTTAATTGAGGGGGTTTATCGAAGAACTTAAATCTTTCGGGGAAGTTTTTACATCAAGACCTTTCATTCAAGTATACGGTTGACAGGTATGCGGCTTACGGTTTTCTCTAAAGTTCAGATCCTTCTTAGCTTTATATATAGACTAGCAGAGTACCCGCCCTTTGTACGGGGTTGGCGTGATTATCAAACATTCGCACAATATCCCAAATTATTCATTAAATTAAAAACATGAACAACTGTAAACAATCGTACTTTGACAGTTCTCATTGTGTATCACAGTTTTTTGTTGCTGTTTAGTTCAAATTAGCTTTTCCCATAAATGAAAAAACAATAATAGTGCTGCACCCTGTTTGAAAACCTTGTAACTTTTTAATGCAATGGCACATCACAAAACCAACTTGTTAAGTTGAAACAACTGACTAAATTCCTTTTGAATATGAATACTCATAAGCATGGGGAACTACAGAGCCACTGGGGCGGAGCCTGAAAGGGTGTTTGAGATAAGAATAGGCCTATATGTTAATCGGGAATGTGAGCTATCATCATGCCAAATTTCAGCCCAATCCGTTCAGTAGTTGATGCGTGATTCAGCTTCGGTGAGTCTGCGTGCGCATCTGGCCTTGTTGTGTCACGTGACTTTACGCGTTGCACTTGTGTAGTTGTAGCGGGTCGCTACAATTTCATGAAAACCGTAAATATTAAGAAAACTGTTTTTAAGATAAAAAAAGATAGAGAATTTAATTGCAGTAGAGAGTCAAAAATCCGAACCAATTGGGACCGTAGGTAGTTCAGATTACCGATTTGTTCCGATTTTCAAACATAGCCTAGAAATGCCTAATAAACACATAAAAAGGCCTACAGTATTAAAAATACAGTAGGCCTACTAGGATACAGTGAATGAAATAAAAATAAAGGTTTTTGTACTTAGGTATTTTTGTTATATAACTGTAATTCGATTCTTGAAAAAAATATGTAGAGTTTATACTTTGGATACGAACAAAACACAGACTGGCTCGCTCGGCGCGTTCACTCATTTCCCTGCCAGGACTGTTTGGCCCACGAAATTGTAAAACCTCGGTTGGGGGGCGGGTTCAAAGGAGAGAATGAGAAAATTTTACTAAGTAGCGAAAGAAAAATTCACACTTTAATTTACAAAATATATCTTAAATATGGGAACATGTCACAGTAATACCAATTAATTAAATGAGTATATACACAGTTACTTGAAATTTGAGTCCTTGGGTTTGGTGGAGATGCCTGACGGTAGACTGAAGCGGGGAGTAAGAAGATCACCAGGGGCAGACAATGTCTTTGAAGGGGCGAATCTTCTCCAGGAGCAGGTAGATTAGGGGATTCTGCGTAGCCGTAGATTCCGTAGAAGGTAGAAGGTCACAAAATCATTTAGAGGTCTTCCCGTCACAACACTTTGGTATTTTTACAATTTAAAAGGCACTCTCTGACATTTAGAAGGGGGAGATATTATAAAACACATACTTTAATATTTACATGTTAAACGTTATTAGTTTAAAATAGCAATAATAAACCTAACTTATGAGCAGTATGTTAGTTCTATTAAATTGTATAACCGAATGTAGAATTTTTTACCAATTTCTCTTCAACATACTGTCTGAAGAAGTCCTATATCAAGATAAAATATCAGTGTTATTTTTGTGACGTTTTTGTGTATCTACTTGCATAAAAAGAGACTCAAACTTTATCAGTTATCTAGCTGAACTCTTATTCCATTTTAAAATGAAAGCCTGTAATTCGTATTTGTTAACCTTAAAAACATGAAGCAGTAAACTGTTTTCTAGGTGTGATGGAGAGATTGGGTTTGGGACCAAGTGTTTTGATGGAAAAGAATCCACAGCTGATATATGCGAGGCTGACAGGTTTTGGACAGACAGGATGTTACAGTGAAAAGGCAGGCCATGACATAAATTATGTAGCCATGTCAGGTGAGTCAATTTCAATGTTATTTTAGTAAAACCTCGCTTATCCAGCACATTCAATTATTAGCATCTGGTCAAAAGAATTGTTTACACTTGTTAAGAAATCCTGGATAGGTCAGAATGAATGAAGTTGGGGTTTAAAAAAAATGTGTCTGTCATCACCATCAGTGTATCTGAGCATGCCATACTAGCCCCCAATACTGGAGATGAGGAGATGGGGTTTTTAAATATTCAAAATATAAGGGGGTGTTAAGTGGGTGGCTATTTCCGATGGAATTCGACCATGTAAGCCTTTATATTTTGGTCTGTATAAGCTAAACGAGTGCTTGGATCTTAAATCTGATAAAATACCTTTAGTTAGGAAATAAACTATCTACAACTTTAGTTTTTTAAGTTCTTTTCTATCTCAAACAAGTAAAATCATCTCAAAGTCAAAACTGTGAAAATTGACTTTTTCCTCATGTTTGTGCCTTAAAACAAGACAGTTCCCATTTAACCACAATCACCAAATTTTGTCCTTTTTCATTAAAAAGCAGTTTATTTTACATAATAAAATACATAAATTAGTGAAAAAAAGGAAAGGTTTAAAACATTTTATTGGTGCTTTTATACTCAATTTATTAAATTTTAGGAGTTTTTCCTAATTCTTACTACTAAAATATGTACAGAATAAAATCCTAAAAAAGGTCTAACCTTGTATATGTACAAACCCAGCAACATAGTCGAAGTACACACACCTGGTGTTTTCCCCCCTCCTAACTCTTATATCGGTATAAATGAAGCACTTTACAGGCAGATCAGTTTACACTTTGTTTGTTGAATGGTGATATGTACTCCAATCAATCAAGACATAAGAATAGCGCTGTCTTCCAATCAAAATAAATAACTACCGTACCTGCAGACTAAGCGAATTTCCATTTGTCTGAATTGATTTTCAATTAAATCTATCTATATATAAAGCCAAAAGTACCCATGAACTTTTGAGAAAACTACAAGTCCCTAAACCAAACCATATACTTAAAATGTTCGTCATGACGAGAAACCTTGCCCTAAACCATCCATTATTTCATAAATTGCCCTTTAAGTTTGTAATTCCTTTCAAAGGGAACTTTCCATAAACCTTATGTTAAAAATACCTCAGCTGTACTTATTTTTTTCTATTACTGTACTGTATTCTATTTTGTTTATTTCAGCTTAACTTCTTAACCAATCAATAATTTTATTAATACTTATGAAGTCAAACGGGGTGAAGCCCGTGGGTAACAGCTAGCTTAACATTAGGTTTAACGAGTACCTATGTTTGCTGCTACAAGAAAACTAACTAGGGTTGCTTTCAGAGAGGTGAAAGCCAGTGGAGCGGAACAAACGTGATTTGATATTTGTATAAGTAACTAAATGTAAAAAGGTAAATAGATTTATTTACTAATGCTGGTTTTAAAGATTAAAATTATAATAATTCAAATTTACCTCTTCGAGAAGTGCATTATGGTAGTTTTGACCAGGAAAATATTACAGTAGTTGGAATCTGATATTAACATCCAAAAAGGGCATTAAAGTATAAAAAAGAGAAAGGAAATTTAACATTCAAATTCAACTGTAGCCTACAACAAAAACATTGGACTTCTTTTTTCACCCTTACAATTGGTGAAAGTTTTTAAGTATAAAAAAACAGTACCTATTAAAAAACGAGTATTGTATAACAACAGGAGAGGAAATGTGACATTTAAATTCAACTGTGCAGCATAAACATCGGTTAAACTCAGCTTTCTTTGCTGGAAATAATTTATGATTGTTAATACCAAGTATACTTGATGGAGGATATGATTGTAATGTAACTGGAATGTGGTCTTCTGCCATTATTAGGACCATTTAGCGACGGCATTTTAATACTGGCCTTAAAATAATACCATTGGCCATTGAATACAGTAGATTTTGATGAAAATGCTGGCTACAAATTCAACATGGGGATGGAATGTCTAGTTGTATTGATAGTCAAAGATAAAACATAGGCCTACGAAAAATGTAGGGCTATTTTAATCTAAGACTCAAATGTAAAACGCCTTTAAAAGACTAAAATAAACTGAATTATCAGTCATGTATTTCAATGTGTAAAAACGTAAAAACTGCAAAAAGACTTACTTATTGAACAATAAAATAGATGGCTGAAATGTAGGCATAAACATAAGTAATAAGTAAACATCGCATTCAGCTGATTTAAGTGAAAACAGAATAATATAATAAGTAGGGAAGACATGATACAATGTAGATAATATAATTAGAAATTAGTAGCCTACTCCTGGACAGGCCTAGACAATTATCCATACCGTGGTTAAAAGTGTACTTCTATAAGCCCAGGTTTACTAAATTACGGTTGTAACTGGTCGTATGTATAGTCCGTGGCTTGGCAATCAAATAACAGTATTTATATAGGATAGGCTACTGTTATCAACATTTGAAATGACTGAATTGTTACCAAATTACTGTTTCACAAAATGCAGATTCCATTTTCAGCCGAGCCAATTAAATGAGGATTTGCCGAACAATTATTAATATTACAGAATAGTATATAATGATATACTGTACAACTTTTCACATTCCATAAATTATATGTTAGTTTTGCTATGGTCAAAGGTCCAAATCCAAATGTTCTCTTTTCTTTTGGTCAGTATGTAATAATTTGCTAGAATCATTGACTTTATATAAAGTCAAAGCTAGAATACTGTGGATGGTTTGTTAAATTTTTGAAATCGTTTCCCCGTTTAACCTTAACCAACTATTTCATTCCAAAAGATAAAAATTATATGGTGCAACACAAATAAACAACCCGATCACGTACACTTTACCTTCCTAATCTAACCTTACTTCAAAAGTCACGAATACTCATATACCCCGACCTACCTCCCCACATGCCTAAATTAGATCAGTGTTCAATCTGCGTTTTATCAATAAGTGTAATAACTTACTGTACCGTCGATGTAATTCAACATAATATAAACTATGAGGTATTATCGGATTAAATACCAATTCGATGCGGTTATATATATATAACCGCAATATATCGCTTATTAAATCCTGATTTCTAACATTGGCTGTTTCTAATCAGCTGGAAACACAAATAGGTTCCCAAGAAAGTAGCCACCGGTCCGTATCCCTCCGCTCCTTGTTTATTTATGCTCCGCGCATTGAGAAAGTAGTTCCGTATATTTTCTCGATTTTCAGTGAATTCCGCGCCTAAAAAAAATGTTTTAACGGCATTTTCTCGTTTATTAAAATCATAGGAATGGTTTAAAAACGTTTAAAAGAAAAGTATAGAAAGTTCAGAAATACCTTATGATTCTCTTGTTTACATTTTTCTTGTAAACAAAAAAACTGTCATAACTACTTTAGTCCCATAAGCCTAATGTTAAAAATTTGAAATTTTAAGTTCGTTTTAAATTGCATTAGCATTATCTAATTGAAATTTGTTTGTTTACAAACCATCTCATTATTAGTCTAAGTAATCTTGTTAAGTTTGGCTGAAATGTGTTCAGCCGTTATTGAGTGATGGTGTTATATTGTTTGCATTGAAGTTGATCCCAAAGAGCTTCGCTCGCTCCGCTCAGTTATGTTTGATGTTTAGTAAAGTATTAATAGCATGTATAAAATAAATAAATTTGCCAAGTTTGATCAAAATATATCCATAAACAAGCAAACTACAACATTTTACAATATTCTCCATAAAAATTACATCTATGCCATGTTTTTCTAACATGGAAATTTTAAATTTACAATTTTTTAAATTTTCTCCATTACCAGTAACCATACCAAAAAACTTTGATATACTAAATTATTTGTTTTTTTAAGCTCTTTAAAAAGGTTTAGAAAGAAATTGGGACATTTTATGTTTTGAGGGTCGAAAATGAGAAAAACTATTTTTACCCTATAAAATCCCCCGTAAAACCCTGTTCCCATGGTCCAATCATGCTGGTTCGCAAAATTATCCAAGTTTGACCCGCCTTACACCTTTAAACTAAATTTAATCAAAATCGGACAAAAATTACTCAAGTTATCGCGTTCACAGACATATATATATTTATATATATATATACTAGCTGTACCCGCGGGCTTTGCCCCGTTTAACCTTATAAGGTTGAAGTTTGTTTGCTACGCTCACTCACCTTTAGGTTGGAGCTCGTTCACTGCGCTCACTTGCCTTCAGGTTAGCTTGTTCGCTACGCTAACTCACCTGCAGGCTGAAGTTCGTTCGCTACGCTCACTCACCTTTTGGTTGCAAATTAGCTGTTGTCATAAATTAAAAAAAAATAATACTGCTGCACCCTGTTGGTAATCCTTGTAACTTTAATGCTATTGAACATCATAGAACAGACCAACTTGTTTAATTGAAACAGCTGTTAAGATTCATTAATTCCTTTTAAATATGAAAAATCATAAGGTTAACATGGGAAACTCCAGAGCCACTGGGGCGGAGCCAGAATAAAAACTACTTAGTTTTCCTATTTAATGCCCAAAGAATCGGTGTACCGAATTTCAGCCTCCTAGGTAAATGGGAAGTGGGAGAATTAGTGATGAGTGAGTGAGTCAGTGAGGGCTTTGCCTTTTATAAGTATAGACATATTTGAACGAATGGTGTTTTTGGCCTCTGAGAACATCAAAATGAAAAGTAAATCGGTCCCGGGCCTGGTCTTACAGTGCCAACTACGGTAATAGCTACTTCCCTATAGGGAAATTCGCTAAAAAGGACACATGATAACCAGGTTGTTCATTAAAAACTGCTAATACCTAAAGTTTGTTTTAATTATTTGTAAAGGAAGATATGGATTTGGGACCCCATATCATTGTGTCTTCTAACATTCCGACCTGAGCAAGATGTGTTGATATTCCCCAGACCCAGGCCACAACAAGGCTATCAGCCCAACAGAGTACCCTTCATTTATTGTGTTTCGTAATCAACTAAAGGGGCAGTACAAAAAGAACGCATGAATTTGATTGGATTAGTATAATTTTTGGTTAAGAAAAATGTTAGAATGAGGGGCAATTTTGTAGTTTAGAGGTTTGTTAAAAATTCAGCCTGGAATTTTTAAATTTTGGCGCAGGTTCACGTGGCTGCCGCTAGGTAACAAAGGCGCTACTATCGTTGGCAAACATTGGTGTCAATAGGACTCACGAAAAAAAGTACAGAGTTTACTGCTTTATCTTTTGTAGGTCTGAGTATCGCCATTGACTATATATACCTACAGTATATATAGTAAATGGTATCGCACAATTAGAATAATGAGTGAGGTAGAGAATCGGCGGCGAGAGAAAGGGTGAGGGCAAAAGGCTAGTGATACCTAGTGACCAAAATAAAGCCATATATAATAGTATGAAATTTGTGCGTTGCTTTTGCACCTCCCTTTATTAATAGTTTTCCATGTTGATTTATTTTTCAGGAGTGTTGTCTATACTGGGAGGTAAGGCTGAGCGACTGACTCCTCCCGTCAACTTAGCGGCCGACTTTGGTGGTGGAGGTTTGATGTGCGCTCTTGGTATTGTTCTGGCGCTCTACGCTCGCAACTCACTTCATAGAGGACAGGTACGGCTTCATGCTTAGCAAACATTTTTCCCAACATGTGTAAAATGTGTCTTTCTTTACTTAACATATAAGTTAGGTTAAAATTCTTGTAGGTTATTATAAAATATGTAAATTTTATATGTATAAAAATATACAGTAGATAGTTATCCTCAATAATAAAAGCTTGTTTTTCATATTCTGAAATTTCCTGATAATTTGGATACCGTAATGCAAACTATTAGGAAGTGCATGCTGGTTTCAAGTTATATTCTTAAGAATAATTATACCATCGAGGTTCTACAGTAAGGTAACTTAATATATGTTACCGATACGGTAGTTATACACACAACAATTATTAGCAAGTTGTGCAGTGCACCTAATCATCAAACCAAACTAATAATAACTATAATTAATAAATTGTTGGTTAAACAGTGAGCTAGAGAAAGAAACCACAATCAAAGATTGAAAACGAGAAGGTTTTTTAATATCCCTTTTGGAAATAGCAAAAATAACAATTTTTAGAGAAATCAATTTGAATGTACAATATACATCTTTATTCAGAGAATTCTAGGATCTACTGTAGGATCAACCAACATGACATTAGTTCTATTGTAAAATTAGCAATATTAAGTATACAAACATTGACCCAGTTACTATTACACAGATTTTCAGGGCTGTGCGAATAGTTCGAAAAACGAATCGAATCCGAATCTTTTTAGAGATTCGATTCGGATTCGAGAACGAATCTACTGTTTCTAACTGGATTCGGATTCGGAATCGATATTCGAATTTACTGGTAAGAGATCCGGATTCGATATTCAAATTTCTTGGAAATAGATCCGAGTTGGGATTCGATATTCAAATTTACTAGTTTCTGATTGAATATAATTTTTTAGACACTAAAAAACTACTTGTGCACTCCGATTTGCTGTTGACTGGTTCATGTTAGGAACCTGACCAACTTGGTGTTAGGCTTTAGGCACATTAGTCTAGGTCGCATTTGAACCCTATCTTGGCTATCAGTAAACTTAACCTCACAGTGTGAGTTGTTACTTGTAATAGTAATGCAGACATAGGCTTGTGTGGAGGATTAACACCGAGGTGTATAATAGGCTGGGCCTATGTTTTAGACTACACAAATTGGTAGTCCATCACTTTTAGTGAGTAACTTAGGCCTAGGTGGTAGGCCTAACTATGCCCAATTTTTTAGTTTCAAAACTTCAAATAGGTAGGCCTAAATTTTATAACTTTTTTATTTGGCCCATTTCAAGAATTTTTTTAAGCAATTCACTAAGTTATTTCAGCCCCAGAAAATGTGGTCTAAAAATGTGAAAATTGGTACTGCTGACTTTCCTCGGATTCGGATTCGACTCTGAACAGGTTTAAATATTCGGATTCGATAACAGCTTTAAATTTCAGATTCGGATTCGATCCGGGTTTGATAATGGCTGTAAATTTGAGATTCGGATTCGACCCAGATTCGACTCGGGAGTAATTAAAATATTCGAATTCGATCCGGATTCGATAAAATCTGTACAGCTATGATTCGGATTCGGATTCAAACCAAAATTTCTGGATTCGCACAGCCCTGCAGATTTTATCAATAAGTTCTGGGATTTACCAATTTGTAGAGTGGTTACAAAAATGTAAATCATAGCCTAATGGAAAAAGTGTTGTTGGTCAAAGCGTGTTAGTGTACAGTTGTCCACATTGTTGACAGGTTGTTGACTGTGACATGGTCGGTGGTTGCGCCTATCTAGCCTCTTGGCTACTACGCTCACAGAACATACCCTTGCTGTGGGGCCAACCCAGAGGATGCAATATGTAAGGGTTTTGCTCTTACAAATTTCAACTATGAAAGAGGTTCATATCTATATTTAATGCTATTATCATTTCCCCTAGAAAGTAAGCTCTCAGGATACCAGCCAGGGTTACCCTATAACTGTAAGCCTTTTTCCAAATTCCAGATCCTGACATCCATATTTAAAATGTTTACATCTTGAAATGTATCCTTAGTGTGAATATACAGGGTTAGTAAAAAGTCTGGAGACCCCCTGTTAATTTTTTAATGGCCCATACTAGAAAAACTAAACTCGGCACACCTTTATGGCATGTTATGAAGTACTTTTTGGGCACAACCGCCACTTGGTATATATTCCCAAAATGGGGATTTTGGGGGAAACTCACAAATTTCAAATGGTAAGACCCCTCATTTTGAAGGTCGTGATAAAAGAAAACTAACAACGCAAACTAGAGGTCTCTGTTTCAATCCAGTAAAAAATGGCAGCTAATTGAAATCTTTAGAAATCAGAACTAACTTGCAATTTTATATTCAATTGGCTGCCATATTTTACTGTGTTAAGATATAGACCTCTAGTTTGCGTTGTTAATTTTCTTTTAACACAACCTTCAAAATGAGGGGTCACTCGATGGGGCTTAACATTAACAATTTTTTAGTTTCCCCCAAAATCCCCCATTTTGGGTTTGAGAACCAAGTAGCAATTAAGCTCAAAAAGTACTTCATAACATGTCATAAAGGTGTGTAGAGTTTAGTTTTCCTAGTGTGAGCCGTTACAAAATTTATAGGGGGTCTCCAGAATTGGAAAGCTGTAAGTTAAATGTAACTTCTGAGAATTTCAATTAGCTGCCATCTTTTACTGGATTTAGATAGAGACCTCTAGTTTGCGTTGTTGGTATTCTTTTACCAGGACTTTTAAAATAAGGGGTCATTTGATGGGTCTTACCATTTTAAATTTTTGAGTTTGCCCAAAAAGTACTTCATAACATGCCATAAAGGTGTGCCGAGTTTAGTTTTTCTAGTATGGGCCGTTAACAAATTAACAGTGGGTCTCCAGACTTTTTGTTTTTTTACTAACCCTGTATATGCATGCTAATGACAAAGTGTAAGCTCAAGGATATGCCACTAGAAATTATTCCAATCTTGATGTTCCAAGGTGCAGGCTATCAGTATAAAATCAAGACATACTAGTGGTCCACGTTTGCTACTTAGCCTTTACCACTTTTATTTTATGTGTTGTGTTTAACAGCTCAATAAATGTTTTTATTTGAATATCCAGCATTTATTTGTATCCTGTTCTATTCAGACTTGATGGTGGCGCACATTTCTACAACACGTACGAGACAAAGGACGGACGATGGCTAGCTGTAGGTGCACTAGAGCCGCAGTTTTATGAGGATCTACTGCAAGGCTTGGGACTACCGGACATACCTCAGTACCCTGACAACTTTGAAGAGTCTATGAGAATATTCACAGAAAAGTTCAAGGAGAAATCTCTAGAAGAGTGGATCAAGGCAAGATTGGTTAAGTTATCGTATAGTATTATAAAATTATTGTTAAGAAAAATTCCCTTTGCACACTTAAGGGCTTTAACTCAACCTTATGTTTTCGTTTTTGCTAATCCAATCGACAAAAAGACCTACAAGGCTGAGAGACTGCTAATAAATAATTCCATTTATTTTTTATAAGAACATTTATAGGTCTCAGGCTATATTTTTTTACTTTGTGTTGGGTTAAAAAGGTATCCGGTCAAAATCAAGTTGCTTTGGAAAGAATTGACTTAAAATTTACTAATTGAAATTCCTTCATCATAATATTTTGATATTATTTGCATTAAAATTAATATGTATTAATTAATATACTCGGTTTATCATTATTTATTGATATTATCTGCATTAAAATTTATCAATTGATATAGGCCTATTCGGCATATACAGGGTGATTCTGGGAAATGGTTCTATGGGTCAAAATAAAGAGAAAATAAAGTAAAACATCTTTTTCAAAATCGCTTCGTTAACTAGATATCGGCCATTTTGTATTTTTTACATAAACATTTTTATTTTTAGATTTTTTCAACCGATCTTTATAAAACTTGGTATGTAGGTTAAGGTAGAAGAGCCCCATGCTAGAAAAATAGATCATCTTGATTCATCTCTAAATTCCAAAATGGCGCCCATTTTAATTTTTTAAACAAATGACTGAAAACGGCTAATTTTAAGAAAAAATTCAAAGAACACTTTTATTTAGCATTTTTAATTCTTTAACAAACAATACCATGTTCAAAAAGATCGAATAAGAAATAGCTTAAATATTACGATTTTTAGTAGTAAAATGGGGTAAAAGCAGAAGCTAGTCAGGTTTGCCCCATTTTACAACGCCATTTTGCCTCCCTGTGATTGGTTAATTACTTTGTAATTTAACCTCCCAGATCGGTTCCTCTGGTCACCGTTGTGTCTGCCTTTAGGGAAATACGGCCCGAGGTGGGAAATTACTTGAGTAATTTTAAATTTAATTTATAAACAACTGTATCAATAGGTAGTTGCATCATCTAGTAGCATGGAATTGATTGGTAGCAAGTCATGTTGTGTCCATCAAGTCACAAATTCAATTAGCTCTTGTTTGTGGGTATTTTCTTCCAGTTTTACATAGTTTTTACCCTTTGCACACAACAAAGTGTTGGTTTACGTGTTTATTTCTAAGTTTTTGAGGCATTGAACAAGGGAAAACGTAAATGATAAGAAAATAGCTTGTAGTAATTAAACAAATCTTTTAAAGAAAGGCCCTTGAAATAAACTTATATGATGTATTTGAGATTATTTCCAATTTAAATGTTTGAGTTTTTTCGTCTAATAAATATTTATTTGTAGATATTTGAGCCGCTGGATGCTTGTGTAACTCCAGTACTTAGTCTGGCCGAGGCAGCTGACCATCCTCATAACAAGGCCTGTGGGAGTTTCCTCCCTTCTACAGAGGAGGTTGTGCCTAGCCCCGCCCCCCACCTGAGTGTCACTCCTGGAGTGGGGGCGAGTAGTCGGCCCCGCCCACAGATCGGACAGCACACTAGGCTAGTGTTGAGAGAGGTGGGGATCTCTAATGGAGACATAGAGGCACTTTTACGGGAGGGTGTCGTCAAATGTGGGGACAATAAATTGTGATAGTGTACAAGTTAGCACCACTATTTGCATTCTCTCCTCATGACCGGTTGTAACATTTTTCTTAATTCAATAAAATAATATCGTCTCACAATTACAATTCCAGATCTAATTGAGATACAGATTGTGTTAATTATAATGGGTAGAGTAGTGTGAGAGAGACAGGAAACTTCCCCTACCACTCTCCCAATTTGAATATGTATTTTTAGATATCTACAAAATAACAAAAGAAATGGTGGTTATAAGAATTAACAATTCCTTGATATCACCAGTATCGAGTTTTGGAATCAAGAATTCCAGTCTGCCAATCCATCCCTACTAACGGTGTATGAAAAATTATGCCAAATATATTTGAACTATTATAAGACTCGCAAATCTGTGTTTTTAAATTCTTAATAACTACTTGATTAGCAATTTAAGTGTTAGTGCTATTATATGAAAATAATTTAAAACAGTCTTCCAATTTTGAAGATAATTTCTGATGAGGACCAATGCGACTGCCTAGAATCAACCCTTTGTAAAATGTTTAGATATTTTTACATTCTTGAACTTTTTAACACATTTATATTATGCAAATGGTGGTACCTAAACAAACTTTTGATTTTAAATCACAGGTAAATATTATTGTTATTTAGTTTATAATTGGTGCTGTTATATTGTTATATATCTTGTTACTTTAGTTTTATACATTTATATAATAAAAACGTTTTTATTTTACTATACTAAATGATTTGTTTGATAACCTTTGTTTAATGTGTCTTATTCACTTACTCTTTGAGTACCTAGACTAATAGCCTAACTCAGTTGTACCATTCAATAATAGTATACCAATAGTATTTCATTCCAGTTTATTATTTACTAGCAGGACGGGTCCTTCGTACGGGGCTCCTTATCCTTATACGGGGTCCTTCGAACGTTGTACTGGGGGGGGGGAGGGGGCGTATAAGTATAAAATGCGTATTGCAGTTTTACTCGGGCTCTATGCGTTCGCAATGGGGTAGGACACGGTTTGAGATAATTTAGTTCTTTAAGTTTACAGTCTGTCATAGCCATAATGTTCTACCACTGCAGCTAAACAATAGAAAAAAGTCAACTATCAAACATAATATCACAAATTATTTACTAAATTAATAGTATATTTCATCACTAGGGCCTAAAGTGACTCTTTTTGACCTGAGCTTAAAGAGGTCGGAAAATTAGTTGAGTGTTGAAGACACACTTTTTGCCCGTGATGAACTATATTTTGTGTCATATTGTACCATTATTTGAACAAACTATGTTACAAAACTGAAATAGTTTTCATTTGAAGATACCTCTCAAACTACTTCTAGCTTGTTTTCAATTTGATTTGCTAAATGAAAACAAGCAGCTGTTAAGTTAGTGATTCAAATGTTTCGTCTATTACGATTGTGTTAGCGTACATTATGCTTTCGTATCGATATGTTGAACTATATACAATAAAGCAACAATTAACTAGAATCGATTAAACAATCGATACATACTTTCGATACATACAATTGTTTACAATCGAAATTTACAACTGAGTTGACACAGCTGATTTTTACTCTCTAGAGGCTAAAAACGATTTTTACTCCCTAGAGAGTAAAAATGCTACTTTAGACCCAAAACGCATGCATTAAGAGCGGCTGTTATTGCTGCAGTATGATGAACAAACATAACTGTAAACAATCCAACATTGACAGTTCTCATTGTGAATCACAGCTTTTTGATTCTGCTTGGTTTAAATTAGCTGTTCATAGAAAGCGGCTGAAGGGAGCCTCTTGAGATGAAGATGATGACGTCATTGTTTCTCGTGACTCGTGTAATTAAATTTGTCTGCTTCTTTCTTTGCTGGTGTGTGATGTACAGCCATCGGTGTTCGTGGCATAGTGGATAGAGAACTCGGCTGATGTGCAAGAGGTATCTGGATCGATTCCCATCGGTGTCACTTAACTTTTTGTCAAAGATTTTGTTTAGAATGCCATTTCTTCTTAATTGTACATCTTTTTTTAGAATTTGAGGTATTTATAATTTTATTTTATGAACAAAATTTCCTTCATTCGATTTTTTTCATTATCAGCAAGTTTGGTTAGTTAGGTTAGGTTATGACAGTAACTGCTGGTGTGATGGCGTCATTGTTTCATCTTGCTTCATCCCGAGAGGCTCCCTTCAGCCGCTCCGGTTGTCATAAATGCAAAAAAAAAAAATTATAATAATAGTGTTGCGCCCTAATTTAGTGGAAAACCTTGTAACTTTTTACACAGAACCTAATAACCTAACTTAATAACCCTTTTTGCTAATAACCTAAGAACCAACTTGTTTAGTTTAAGCAAGCAAAATTCTTTAATTCCTTTTAATATGAATACTCATAAGAATAACATGGAAACTTTGAACCCACGTGGGGCATGGCCATACAAACACAATGTGGGTACAAGTTATTACACAACAATGAGCAAATTACATACAAACATCGCTACTTTCACATTTATAATATTAGTAGGATTTTTGTTTCTTGTAAGTTGTATTTTGAGTAATTTATTCACGTTAATTTCTTAATTTCTTTTCATATCTTCATGGTTCTTGGTTTAACTTTGCTGTTAAAAAAGAACTTTATTAAAATTACTTAAGTTGACTCTAATTTTTTTAACGATGAAAAACTTAGGTTTTTTGTTCACGAAAACATGGCCAAACTTTAGGATACGGTCAAAATTAATTCAAAATTCCAGCACAAATAGTACTTTATTACAGACAATACATTACTAAACAAACTACAAATTTAATTACAGTAAATACCGTAACAATTAATTAATAATCCACTTACTGAAGTACTAGAGTCTCAGCACCTTTTACCCTATGTAGAATTCCTGCATTTCTCTTTGCATCTTCTTGGCATTGCTTTTTACACTCAAGTAGTCTGAAAGATAAAAGAAACCTTGAGGTAGCAAAAATTTAAGCTATTCATTTTAGGTTCATATTCAAGACAAATATGAATGCAAGACCAGTGAAGAATGGAGTGAGAGTTATGTAGCTACGTCCCTGATTAAGACCAGCTGTTTCTTTAGCCAGAAACATTTGTCAAGGACAGCTGATCCAGTTTTGAACCTTTCAAAAAAACCACTGCCTTCTCAGGATCAAACATGTGACCTTTTAAAATAGTCAAAACGACACTACAACCTTTTAGATGCAAAGCTTATTTGCTTATTATTTGTATTACATTAGACTATGTGAGTACAGTACAAACTACAACATTATAATTTGTAATAATAAGAGGTTGCAAAATTCTTTATTAGAATATTTAATGTTGCAATAAATGAATCTGCACACTCATATGTTAATCAAGAATTATCAGCTGTTTTATTGTATTGTGAAACTTTTAAAGGTCATGCACAGCAGGGCCATTTTATTACTACAGTAAACTCTAAATAATTCAAAATTGGTGCGTCAGGAAAATAAATTTGAATTTATTATCAATACTTTTGAATAATCAAGAGATTCAATTAATCAGGAGAAAAGTTAACCATTCGAATTACAAAGAGTTCATGTTTTTAAGCTTTTATAATTTTATTCAACTTGTCAATTTAGGATTATAGTGGTTGTCTAATGACACCTTACCTTCCAAATATGGAGTTTTACGTTTTTCTTTTTCCTTGTTAATACAATTAATTATTCCTGCTCAAGAACAAGATGGCGCCCTTTTAAAAATAAATTTGAACAACCGTTGAAGACAAATAAGTCTAGAAAATATTTTGGTTAAACCTAGGCTACTCACGCCTGCAGATCTGTCCATAACTGTCGCTGTTTCGCTTTCTTCTCCAGATCAGACCGAACTCTCTGCTGTTCCTCTTTCAGCTGCCGAGACAATCTCTCTTGTTGCACTATTTTCTGTTGGAGCTTATCTCTGCACAGAGAAATCCATGAAAATTGTGGTCAACTTAAGGGTTATTTAATTATAATTGGATTGCCACATTCCCAGTCAGCATAAAAATTGTTGAAAAGCCAAAAAAATTGTTGTACAACAATTTTAAAAGAGTTCGCAACAATTTCAAAATAAGTTTGGATATAAAACAATTTTAATATAGGTTTTAAACAATTTCAAAATTGTTTTAATATAGATGGTTAGTAACTATATTAAAATTGTTTTGATATGAGTGTGCAACAATTTTAAAATTGTTTTAAAACAATTTTAATATTATTTCGAAAACACATATCAAAATTGTTTTGATATAAGTTTGCAACAGTTTTAAAATTGTTTAGAAACAATTTTAATACTATTTCGAAAACACATATCAAAATTGTTTTGATATAAGTTTGCAACAGTTTTAAAATTGTTTAGAAACAATTTTAATACTATTTCGAAAACACATATCAAAATTGTTTTGATATAAGTTTGCAACAGTTTTAAAATAGTTTTGAAACAATTATAATAATGTTTCGAAAACACGTATCACAATTGTATTGATATAAGTTTACAACAGTCTTAAAATTGTTTTAAACCAATTTAAATGCAACTTCTAAAAATCATTAAAATAATAATTAATGTTATAAAACCAAAATGTTCTGAATATTATATTTATGAAAGCGGCTTTCCTTTCAGTAATATAAGTTACAAAAATTACAATGGCCATCCATAATCTTGAAATGGTCTGTTTTGTAAAAAGATTTATAATGATTTTCGTGTTTTTTCGCCCAAATTTTAAATCTTTCGCACATTTTTTCTATTTTTCCTTATGGGACACTTATACTTGTAGGATAATAGTCAGTGTGTTGTGCTGTGTGTATGTGGCAATGAATACACAAACTAGTTTGTGTATTCATTGTATGTGGCCAATGCGTCAGCAACGACAGCTCCCCGCGATTTTGATTAAAATACAGTACGATAGTGGTAAAATCAAGTGAAAGAGTCATGGAGATGGAGGAGGGGCAGACTGCCAAACTCAAACTCAAGTTAGACCTAGACCATCAATTGCGCGACCTGTATAAGTTTAATGGTTAATAACAACAGGTTAACAGTAGTGAAAATAAATTATTTATTATTTGTAATTGTATAAGTATACTGGATGAGTTTTAACATTCTTACAAGTATCATCTACTCTAGACTCTACCAGAGTTTCGCAGTTCACTGACTACAGCAGTCTCCAGTCTGTTGATTTGATTTGATCATGATCACGGGCTGACGGGCATCACAGCATTTTGTTTGTTTGAAAAGTTATTAGGTGCATTAAGTTTACTGTTTTTATCCTACATAGCTTCTTATGCAGCAAACAAGGTGAGTTATAACTTATTTAGGCCTTTTCAGTCAGTGGTGATTCAGTTATTCTAAACTAACATATAGGCCTAACCTAAAATGAAATAGAGGTACTCCAATAGTTCCTGGTCTAAGTTAACCAATAACTTTGATAGGTATTTGGTAGGTAACATGATTATGGCCCATCTCTAGAATTGGCCTAGCCTATGTGAGCAAACTCTTATGAATTTCCTTTTGTTTCTCATAAATATAACAGGCTATGTTACTGAAACTGTAAGTTACCTTGGGTTTTTAGTAAATGGTCGTTGCTAAATGATACAGTTGGATTTACAGTAACCAAAACTAAAATAACTTAGACCTAACTTACACAAGACATCTAACATTAAGTTTATAAACTCATAATTGAATTGAATTACTCAATTAGGTGGCGTCCCCAACTCAAATAGAAAATGACATTGTAGGGCCTGTCGCCTAATGCGGTAACTGCTTAAAAGTAATATGACTAGGTATTTAGGCTTAGGCCTAGCTAAGTTACATCAGCTAGGGATTGATTTAAGTTAAGTTAGCCTATTTTTAAACTTGTTGTGTTAAGGGCTGCAGGGGTTTTTCAACTCTAAGTTAACTTTATAAATATGTTAACTTACTAGACCTTGAAACTTGGTTAACTCATAATTTAGCCCTCCGAGTGTTAAGCACCGCGTAATCGATGCACAACACATCCGCCGTGGCGTTATGCGTCGCTTTTGCGACACACAAACATCGTTTATGGCGAAGGCTCTGGGACTGACTTAATCAGATTGAACTGGATCAAGATTGGTATCGTTTTCGGCAGATTCTAAGCTTTCTCCTGATGTATGTTTCTAGACGCTTTTCATTTTAGTTCCAAAAATATTTTAGCAGGCAGCTGACGTGCGTATTTGTAAACAACTTGGTTAACCACCGATGACTGATGTGTTTTATTAAACGTTTCCATTGTCTTAGTGTTAAAAATTAAAAAAAAAATACGTGGTCCATTATAAAAAGATTAAAGTTAGTGATTTTGAAGGGCTGGTTGATGATCCTGAAGAACTAGGTAGTGATATTGATGTAAATTATCGGCCAGATTCCTAGCCATGGTTAGGCTATGCATTCTTAGCTAACGCTTAATGTACGAAATCTGTTTTTCACCCATAACTTATTTATTTTCAAATTTTCTTCCTTATATTATTATATTTTTGTAGGCCTAATCCTTATAAAATTTAGAACAAAGTGGCTATTTTAAAATATGTGTAGACTTATAAATTATAAAAAAATATTGAGGGCAAACATACATGTTAGGCTATTCATTTATTATATAATTTTTAATAAATGTTAACGCCACAAAAATTGCAGAAATTTTTTTTTTGCAATGTTCTATTAAATGCATTTTGTTTTTTGAAGAAATGACGAAGAAGAGATGGGCCAACATTGAATAAAGCAAAATAGAGAAATCAGTTGCTTCATGGCTGCCACAGACACAATTAAAATCAAAGACTTAGAAAGGGTATGTATAGTGTGATAATTTGTATTACAAAATTCACTTAGTGAGGTTAAAAACATAGGCTAACAAAACAATATGCTACTAGCTTTCTCTCTTAATTCCGGATGCTTCAGTTTTGATAGTATATTGTTATACTAAAGCTCAGGTGATTTTATTTATCTCAGACAAATACTGCAACAATCATTAATACTTGACAGGGGTTTTTTTATTTCACGATTCTGAATCTACCACTTGATGGATTTTCACTATTTTTGTGTCGAAAGAAAGATAATTCTGAGAACTAGGGAATGTGAAAGGCACAATTTCAGTTTAGGGTTTCAGTTTTTTAGAAATTAAGTTTTCATTTTTTTAAGTCAAGCTGCCGACGTCAACATTCTAGACTAGCTTTTGCTATAATGCCATTTGCTTAACGTAACAGCTGTAAACATTCAGGGGTCCCTAGTAACGAAATATAATATTAATCTGTGTGTTATAATTTTAGGGCAGGGTGTCAAAGAGCACCTGAAGAACAGGAAGATGAGGATCATGAAGCCGCCGACGCTTGAATGATGTGTAAATAATGTATTGTCAGAGTGTCTACGAACCGGGAAATCTGGGAATGAACTTATATTTTTTTACTGAAATGTACTGTTTTTAGTAAATATGGGTAATTTTTAGTGGTAATTGTCCTTAAATAATTGTGTGGGCCATTTTAAGTATGACATAAAAAATTGTTAGAAGAACATAAAAGGTTTTTTTATAAAATGTTTGCTTACATTTTCATCATTTATTACTATAGAGTAATTATGCAATAGAAACCACATTAGCAGTCTCAAAGCCATAAATATTTTATCTCGACAATCATATCAAGTCAAGTACTTCAAAAAACTTATGACTCAGTAGCAAAGCTCATAAAAGTTGTATCACTGTCATTCCTTGACAACTTATTTATTTATTACTAGGGTAATTATCATTAGATCCCAAACCTTTTTGATCATGGGAATAATAGTTTTATATTAGCTGTTAAATTTAACTTTTTACTTGTACTTTCATCTTGAAGATTCAATTTGCCGCTGGCCGTTGCCTACTCCCTTCAAAACTGTTTACGGTTTCATATTAAACTTCGAATTAATATACAGTGTTATTTTATAAGTTAAATCCTTTTTTATGGACATTTTATCTTTCAATTGACAAAACCACGAGCATTGTTGTTTGCATTAATTTTTTATCATAACACAGTCCTACTTGGTCTCAAAAAATCATGTCCTTGCATTTCATGTATCTTTGTCTTTTATTGTTGGCTGTTTGGGTTTCAATATTTTTTTGTTCCCCATATTTATTTATTGAGTTGTAAGCGTTAAGCAATCTAAATCTTATAAACTAGAATGATGATAATTTGCTGCTATAAAATAACCTCATTGTTTGTTACTTAGTTTATACAAGCCCTCCTAAATAATTAGGTCTAGGCCTAGGCAAACTAATGGTTGCTATATATGAATGTTAACTTTGCAATTGAAAAGATAATAACTTATTCTGTGCTGACTGGTAGAGAACTTAAAGTTTGTCCATGAATATTTTATTTTTATATCCATGCATCCATTTATATTTTTTAATCCAGAATGTAGTAGACTGTGTTTTTATTATTTCTCTACTTTTTTTAATTTGTTTACTTCAAATAGAAGAATTTCAGTATACTTATTTGTTTTTATTTATTCACCATTGTTTTTGATAGTAAACTAATCAATTAATGTTATATTTAATTAGTTGCTATAGGCGTACTTATTATTTATGAACTCAAATAGAAATTAACCCTAACAAAGTTCCAAATTTGTCTATTTTAAAACAATTTCCAAACAACTTCAAAATTGTTATACAACAACTTTAAAATTGTTATACAACAACTTTAAAATTGTTATACAACAATTTCAAAATTGTTTTAAAACAACTTCAAAAATATTTTATAACAATTTCAAAATTGTTGTACAATAATTTTGAAATTGTTGTACAACAATTTTAAACTCATTTTAATATAGACAAAATTCCAAATTTGTCAATTTTAAAACAATTTTAAAACAATTTCGAAACAATTTTGAAACAATTTTGAAACAATTTATTTTCTTTTCCAACAATTTTTATGCTGACTGGGTTGTTTCTTTCACTCATTGATGTGTGTGTTTCTCATTGTGTGTGATGTGTTAACTTCAAGTCATCATCTGCTTTTATTGACTTTGTTCAAAACAAAAATAATCTGATATTCAGTTCTTTTTTACTAATTGTGGAAAATTGAAAATTTGATAACAGAGTAGAGTATGTTTAGTTTAGCTTGATTAAAAAGTAGGAATATAGAACAGAAATTAGTAATTGAAAACGGAACCATCTTCTAGTGACTAAATTAAACTACGTCAATTTTTTTTCATTCAAAAAACTGGTGACATCATTAACATGGAGATGTAATGAAATGACAAGTTATACGTATAGCCAAAGATCCAATCTATGATAATATATCCATCATGAAGTATTTTATTCAAGTAGAACACAAGATTCAGCTAGATACAACTTGCTAGTCACCTGATTGTTGGTGACTGGTCTTTCTCCACATACCGCCTGACCTCTTCCGCCACTCGCTCTATCATCACCTGCAACACCTGAATGCGAGCTGCTGCCTCAAACTGACCTGTCTCTGCCACTTGCCTCTCCTCTCTCAGACGGAGCACCTCCTACAACATGTCAACATGATCATAAAGTTGTCTGGGTAGCCGAATGGTTATAGTGCTCGCCTTCAAATCTGAAGGTTGCTGGTTCAAATCCAAGCGAGATCGTTTCGAGACCCAGATGCCATATGTCATTGGGCTATGAATTAATGATGCTATCTAACAAAAAGGTCGACGTTAAATAGTAACAAGACTAGGGTTTGGACTGTTCCCTTTCAATTCAATTCAATTAAAATATCTTTATTCATTTTTATGTACATTGTACAATAAATAGTGTCAAAATAATCACAGAGTTATCTTCAAAAGAATAAATTGCTAAATTTATTAAAAACTCTTTCAATATTTTTTAATTTGTTAGGATCTATTTCTGTTTTAATATTATTTGGAATAAATTAAAAAAAAATCTTTTACCTGCATAAGATGGTTTCTTTAAAAAAAAACTAGTTCTGTGTGGTTGTATATTTTTGTTCTTATTTCTTAAATTATAAGAATGGGATTTTTATTTTGGTTCCAAATATACTTCTTGTTTTTTTTGCAATTATTGATTCATATATATACTGCACTTCATTCTTTAAATGTATACTTTCAAAAGGCAAAAACGCCACTGGTGTAAAAACACAAAATAAATAAAAAAATATCATCACCTGAATGTAACCTGGGTCACACAAAGCTGGTTTAATGACAACATTTTCAATAATGGGAGCCCAAAGAACAAAAAGTTTAGTCTCTCAGGCAAAGAGAGCTGTTGTTTTTGTAGTTGAGAACTGTACTTATATTATTAATATTATAAATTATGACGCAATCTATCAGACTAGATCTGTCAAAGATGCAGGATTCAAGTATTCAAGTAAGTATTCAAGTGTCTCCACTAAAAGCCATCAAACAAGACAATTCTTACTTCTCTTTGAATTATTTAAAATGTTTTACTGTACTTATAAAATTACTGCATGTTACAATAATTGACACAACAGTGAGTTTAGGTTAAGGTCGATGATTTATTTATACTGGAGCTAAATCCTCATGCCCAATAAAATTACATTATCAAATGTATTAGTTTTTTGTTGCAGTGTTTTCCAGCATTTAAATCGTGCATCAGATCTGCAGAAATGTTTATGATAATCACCAATGGATTTTATCTAAGTGAAAATGCCGCAATCCCTAGGTTTAGCCTGACGTAATGTAAAAAATAATCTCGGGCTCGTGCCTAGCGTCCTAAGACAAAAATTTCTATGATGATCATAGCTTTTTAAACAGTTCATTCATAAAACCTTATCTAGAAAATAACTTAAACAACAAACATTCCCCCACAGACACATGTTTCTGTGAAGGTTTTTAGGTATTTTTTATATTTAACTGATTTTTAATATTTATAATCGTTTAAATACCTGCATTCAGTAATCCAATATGCTGCTTGTGGCAACTATAGTTTCGGTTCACAGGGAACCATCTTCAGGCCGTACAAGGCGTCGTTATTCACTTCCATATATGAAGGTCGTCATTTAATAAATAAGTACATAGAACACGAACACACGAAAACGCACATTGACACGAACATTTAACATTAAAAATACCGAGTACTCGGGAACACGAGACAGGTGACGCGACCGGGTGGAAGTTGTAGCTCGAACTTCCATGTAGTAGTTCCATTGTAGTTCGAGCTACAACTTCCACCTTGTGGCGGTTAGCCGTTTGCAATGGAACTAATTTGTTGATTACTGATTGATTGACTGAGGTGTAAAACTAAATTAAGCGTGCTGATTCTGCTACCAAATTAATTAATGAAAGACGTGTTGGGGACCAGAGGACGGAGATCTTTTACCCAGACCGGAAGCTTGCATAGCCAGCTTTGATTTATGCTAATACAACTAATTTACTAAAAAACTATCCTTCCAAAACTTGTGACCTAGAAAATGACTGTTAATGAGATGATTGACTGGTTATTGAACTACTTAAATAGGAAATGCCAAACAATTTAATTAAAAGAACTATGGAAACTTCTGGGGAAAACGTGTTGCCCTAATCCTGTTGCAGATGGTCCGAGGCTGAAAGCCTCGAACCGTAATTGTTAATTCCTACATTTTTCCTATGTCGGGGCGACCCTTGTAGGTATCCCCCTTGTTTGCTAACTAGCCTGACATATTAATCTATATATATTGTACACAATTAATCTAAGGACTTATCCATTTAGTAGGTTTTTCCTGGAGAACACTTCTTCTGTGAGAGTTCTTGATCGTGGGTGCCGGTGAAGTGGGAAGAAGGTAGAGGGTTGGGAACAGTGTTGCCAACCAACCTCTTTGATTTTCCCCGCACGAAACGACGGAAATCCTCGATTTTCCTCGCAAGGGTTCTAAAATTACTCGCAAAATCCTCGTTAGCATCAAAAAAGATTAAAATAATTTGAAATTTCCCCATATTTACATTATAATATACGTTTCCACGTTTTCTTTTTTTACTAGAGGTGCAAATAACCAAACATAGATGCGTAACCTATTGTACTTTAAAAATTATGGGTTTTGTTAAATAGTATGAGTGTGGTCTAGCCATAGACCAACCAACACAATGGAATTATATTTATCTATGATTTAACGCATGCATTATAATCAATGGTAAAAGTAGGTTTTCCATCCCTGAACCCTGACTCTTTGTCAAATCTGAATAAGTACTTGTACTTGTAGTTGGTCTTGGTTAATTTGTGGGTGTGCTTATGTCAACGTCGAAATTCTTTAACAAATTATAAACAATTTTTTATTTTATTTTTTATTTTAGGGTATAATAATTCACTCAAGGTTATATTAAATCACAGCCGCCTAAATAAGAAAAAAAACCTGTGTTTATACGGTACCTGAAAAAAATACTTTATAAATTATATCATACTTATAACCTTCATTAATAATAATATACTAGTTATTAGCTTTAAAAATTAAATTATAAATCATTCAGATGGGGACGACACCTAGGTACGTATTTTTACTCAAATTCGAGTGAAAGATGAGTGTAGAATGGTGTGAGATGATCTGTGTAACTTTGTTACTGATGACAAAGCTATTTCATCAGACAGGATAATTGATTTAAAGCCCAATCATAATGAACAGCTGAGTAGACCTAATAAATCATAATTTGTTAGGTTTTAATAATTTCACTACGTAGGCCTAATTGAAAGAAAATTTGAACTGAAGGCAACCAACAAACGACAAGTTTCTGTGTGAAAAAGCTAAAAAAAGGTAGGGTAGTTTGTTGTTAAACACACATCGGTCCCAGTTATATCCTCATAACAATAGTTCAATTCGAATTCACATTCGCTTCATGATTACAGGCTTATAGCACGCAGCTCAGCTGAGCTGACATGACAGCGACAGCTGGAGCTGAGCATAGAATTACTTCACTTCACTTCACCTCAGTCCAGTTTCCAGTTCGGCAGTTAGTTCTAAGTTCACCCTCATTTCATTCTCATTGTCTTCTTCTTCATCTACTTGTTCTTAGATCTTGATTGGTTGATTTATTGATTGATTGACTTTTTTCAGTTGCTGAAACTGTTCTTTCAATGATTAGATTCAGAGGGATTTTCAATATATTCTTAAAGAGACCCAGACACTGAGAATACTTGATTATCAGAAAATCCTAGTTGCTTTACCTGAAAATCCTCGAAAATACTCGCAAAATCTTAATCCTCGCATAAATCCTCGCAAGGTCTGGAAATCCTCGAAAAACGAGGATTTTCCCCGCAATTGGCAACACTGGTTGGGAAAGGTCGGTGGGAAGAAGGTTGGGATGAAGGTTGGTTGGGTCGGTGGGGGAAGCCGTTCGCTTGCTCGCGGTGGGCTGACGAGTTCGCCATGCAGCCCTGCCACACGAAGCGCTGACACTATAAGAAATATAGCGTGCCGCTATGTGTCACAACCACCCCCCCTTGGAGCAAAGAAAAGCCAAAAAAGACAGTTTTGCTAAAGGTTGGAGAAGGGTATCATAGGTGTGTTTGTTTGTTTTTTTTTGTGTGTGAGGGAACTTTCGGATGATTTGCTTCCAGATGTGGAAGGCTGGAGGTTCAGACCAGCCCGGTTGTAATTGGCACCTCGGACACCCTGAATTTCCCGAACCAACCACGGCAGAGAGCGGGATCCACCCCCCCTGCGAAAAGAGGAAGTTTTGTGGGGACGACAGTTCTTTTCCCTAGCCTACTAAATTGAGATTGTTGAGTTAAAATGCAAATTTATGAAAAGGGACGGACAACTGCACTTCCCAAATATGTATATTTTTTTATTTATTTATTTTTTTTTTATTTTTTTTTTATTTATTTATTTTTTTTTATTGAAATGTTTGAGGGTTGAGTACTATGGGCAGATGATGGAGAAAATGGTGCGGCTTCCGGTGCTATGCTGATGGTTCTGAGAGGTGTGTTGATGACATGGGCTAGGAGTTCGGCAGCAGTGTAGGTGATGATGTGTAGTGCCTTCGGCTGCTCATGCGGACAAGGCCGGAGCGATGCTGGATGCAGGTAATGTATATGCCGTAGGCTGCTCATGCGGACAAGGCCGGATCGATGCTGGATGCAGGTAATGTATATGCCGTAGGCTGCTCATGCGGACAAGGCCGGAGCGATGCTGGAAGTGCCCAAGGCGAGATGTCACTCTCTCAGCGTATGATTGCGGGGAAGACTGTCAAACTGCCGTTGCTACTGGAGATGAAGGTAATTACTTCATAGTGTCCATTGCTGTCACATGTGTTGCGCACTTGATGAAGACTGTGGTTTTGGAATTCAGCTGATGTACTCTTTTAGATTTAATAAAATTTGTACTTCTTTTAATAATTTCTTTTTTTTTTTTTTTGAAGAACACTTCGCATGCAGAAAATTACGCATGCAGAAAATAACGCATGCACATATACGCATCGATGAGCGCTAAATTGAGGTGAGGATAGGTGATTGTGGATTTTGGGGAATTCTCACTCATTTTGGAGTATTTATAAAGATCAAAAAAAATATCCTATTTCTTTCTCTTTTGCTCTGTGGT